AGTTCCTAAATAAAGTGTTTTCGCGGACTTCGACAGGTAAGCCCGTGCCGTGTGCAGGAAATCTTAGTAGTTTAAATTGTTTTTTACAATTAATCCTAAATAAAGTGTTTTCGCGAACTACGACAGGTAAGCCCATGCCTTGTGCAAGATATCTTATTCGTTTTAATTTTTTTACAATAGTTCCTAAATAAAATGTTTTCGCGAACTACGACAGGTAAGCCCGTGCCTTGTGCAAGATATCTTAGTAGTTTTATTTTTTTTACAATAAATCCTTAATAATGTGTTTTAGCGGACGACGACTGGTAAGCCCGTGCCTTGTGCAGGATATCTTAGTATTATTTTTTTTACAATAAATCATAAATAAAGCGTTTTCCCATAGTTCGACTGGTAAGCCCGTGTCTTGTGCAGGATATCTTAGTAGTTTAAATAGTTTTTTACAATAAATCCTAAATAAAGTGTTTTCGCGAACTACGACAGGAATAAGCCCGTGCCTTGTGCAGAATATCTTAGTGGTTTAAATAGTTTTTTAAAATAAATCTTCAATAAAGTGTTTTCGCGGACTATGAGAGGTATAAGCTCGTGCCTTGTGCAGGATATCTTAGTAGTTTACATAGTTTTTTTACAATAAATCCTAAATAAAGTGTTTTCGCGGACTACGACAGGTAAGCTCGAACCTTGTGTCGGATATCTTAGTAGTTTTAAATTTTTTCCTATAAATCCTAAATAAAGTGATTTCGGAAACTGCGACAGGAAAGCCCGTGCTTTGTGCAGGATATCTTAGTATTTAAATTTTTGTACAATAAATCCAAAATAAAGTGTTTAAGCAGACTACGACAGGTAAGCCCGTGCCATTTGCAGGATATCTTAGTAGTTTTAATTATTTTTTATAATAAATCCAAAATAAAGTGTTTTCGCGGACTACGACAGGTAATCGCGTGCTATGTGCAGGATATCTTAGTACTTTTATTTTTTTTTACAATTAATCCTAAATAAAGTGTTTCCTACGACAGGTAAGCCCGTGCTTTGTGCAAGATATCTTAGTAGTTTTAATTCTTTTACAATAAATCCTAAATAAAGTGTTTTCGCGAACTACGACAAGTAAGCCCGTGTCTTGTGCAGGATATCTTAGTAATTTAATTTTTTTTACAATAAATCCTAAATAAACTGTTTTCGCGAACTACGACAGGTAAGCGCATGCCTTGTGCAGGATTTCTTAGTAGTTTAAATTTTTTTACAATAAATTCTACATAAAGTGTTTTTGGGGACTACGACAGGTAAGCCCGTGCCTTGTGCAGGATATCTTAGTAATTTTTTTTTTTTTACAATAAATCCTAAATAAAATGTTTTCGCGGACTACGACAGTTAAGCCTGAACCTTGTGTCGGATATCTTAGTAGTTTTATTAATTTTTTTACTTTAAATCCTAAATATAAAGTGTTTTCGCGGACTACGACAGGTAAGCCCGTGCTTTGTGCAGGATAACTTAGTAGTTTAATTTTTTTACAATAAATCCTCAGTTAAGTGTTTTTGCGAACTCAAAAATCCAAATAAACGGTTGGATTTAGCATATCAAAGAACATACAGAATTCCTTTTTTGTTGAAATCAAACAAAGTTAAGTTTTGGACCCTTTGGATCTTAATGTGGACCAATTTGAAAACAAGGCCCAAAATTAAAAATCTAATTAAATGGTTAGATTCGGCATATGAAAGAACCCCGATAAAATAAAGTTTAATGTTTGACCCTTTGGCACGAAATACAAAATCTAAATACACGGTTAGATTCAGCATACTAGTTTTAAAGAGCCCCAAGAATTCAAGAGTTTTTTACATTTGACTTTTACAGACTTTGAATTGAACCCCATTGATATTAACCAAGAAATAAGCAATTTATACAAAGTATTAGAAAAGTATTGTTTTCGGCCCCGAATTCCTAAACGGTTAGGGCTAAAACCCTAAAAATCAATCCATTATTCCTTTTTTAGTATGGAACTTTGTGGTACAATTTCATAGAGAACCATAGACTTATGCCTTTTTTTGCCCCAAATTCCTAAACGGTTTATGCCATAACCCCAAAATCAATCCCAACCTTCCTTTTGAAGTATGGAACCTTGTGGTGCAATTTCATAGAGATTCATACACTTATACACAATTTATTGTCCTGAAACAAGAAAAATGGTTGTTTTTGGACCCTAACTCCTTAACAGTTAGGAATAACCCCCAAAATCAATCCCAGTCTTTAATTTGTGGTATGGAACATTGTGGTACATTTTCATAGCGATCCATACACTTATACTCAAGTCATTTTCTAAAAAAAAAAATGTCTCCATCCAGGACGAAATCGCTATACCATTATAAGGCCGCATAAATTTTGCAGTTATATAAAAACCCTTGAAATATCTTTTCATCTCGACCTCTAGTAAGTGTTCTACTACTAATCTTTTTGGTGCTGTTAACTAAACAACTGTCAAAGAACTTATCATTAACTTTTGTAAGAAAGCATATGAAAACAGAAGAATTAACTCTTTTTGGAGTGTAAACAATTCTTTGGATATTTTAGATAAGTTACATCTTTTGATGGTCCTTTTAATTCGGTGGACAGTTTTGACTTTTTAACTCTTTACACTACACTTTCACACAATCTTAACCAACAAAAGTTTCGTATTCAATTAAATGGTCGTTTCAAAAATCTGATTGCAAATGTATTTGTTGTAACTCCTATAAAGCCTTTTTCTCTAACGAGAAAAAAAAGGTAAATATCCTAGATATATTTATTGGAATTGTGATGAAATGATTATAGTTGTAAATGTTCTACTTCACAACATTTATCTACATTTCAGTAAGAAAGTTTAATGACAGGTTTTAGGTATTCCTATGGGCACCAGTTGCGCTCCCTTTAATAACAGACATGTTCCTTTACTGTTATGAATCACAGTTTATCGCCAAACTCAGTAAAGACCCATCTAAATTCCATTTAATTGATAAATTCAACAACACTTACCGTTATCTTAATGATATTTTTTGGTTGAATAATAAAAAAATCTCTAAATATACTGCCGAAATTTACCCAAAGAACTTTACTTCAAAAAAATCAAATATAACCAGCAATAACTGTCCTTTCCTAGATTTAGATATTTCCGTTTTACAGGGGAAACTCGACACAAAAATTTACGAAAAAAGGACGATTTTTTGTTCCATATTGTTAATTTTCCTTCTTCGGACGGGGATGTTCCTTTGGCACCATCTTACAGTGTTTATATGTCCCAACTTGTAAGCCACATTCTGTATGTGCCTGTCCCAAGTCAGGAGCCTGTAATGCAGTAGTTGTTGTTTGTTGCTGTATATCATATTTGTTTTTTTTTATTGTTTTGTACATAAATCAGGCCCTTAGTTTTCTCATTTGTATTGTTTTACATTTTTCTTTTCGAGGCCTTTTGTAGCTTACGATGCGGTATGAGTTTTGTTTATTGTTGAAGCTGTACGGTGACCTATAGTTGTTAAATTATACGTCATGTGGCCTCTGGTGGAGAGTTGACTCATTGGCAATCATACGACATCTTTTTTCATTTTTTCTATTTACACTTTACAATCATTCCATGCACAAAATCTAGTTGACCTATTGCTTATAGTATCCTAGAAACAGACCAAACAATGAAATCTTATCATTCACCAATGAACCATGAAAATGAGGTCAAGGTAAGATGAAACCTGCCAGTGTGACATGTACACCTTACAAACATTCCAGACACCACATTTGACCTACTGTAGTATAATATCTGAGAAATGAACTTTGACCTTGATCACTGATCCATGAAATGAGGTCGAGGTCAGGTGAATCCTGTCGGACAGATATGTAGACCTTGCAAGGAACCATATACCAAATATAGTAATCCTTTTACTCATAACAAGTGATAAATTCACATGACAAAAAAAATATTTTTTTTTAAGCATTTGCTTAACAACGAAAATCAGGTCAAGGACAATCGAGATATTACAGATGGAAACTTCACAACATAAGGTATCTATATACCAGGTATGGAGAATCCAGGTCTTATACCATCTGAAATATAAAGATTTATACAAATAGTTTATGCCCACCTCTGCTGCCAGATTGCAATCCCTATGTCTTTAATTCTGGGACTTTTGTTGCAAGGGGAGACAAAAACCAATTCTCAGTGTGAATAAACAAGAATGTATCCATAGTACACGGATGCCCCACTCACACTATCACACTATCATTTTCTTTATTCAGTGGACCGTGAAATTGGGGTCAAAACTCTAATTTGACATTAAAATTAGAAAGATCATATCATAGGGAATATGTGTACTAAGTTTCAAATTGATTGGACTTCAACTTCATCAAAAACTACCTTGACCAAAGACTTTAACCTGAAGCAGGACAGACAGACGAACGAAAGAACGGATGCACAGACCGAAAAACATAATGCCCCTCTACTATCGTAGGCGAGGCATAAAAATCAAAATATTGTCTAAATAGAAGATTACTGCACAGCAGATCTAAACATCGCTTAAATGTTACAACTCATCATAATAATACTGCAGACCAAATATAACATTCTGTAAAATAAAAGCAGAGTAATGTATGATGAAAAATTCCATGCTCAGTTGGTTTTAATTCTAATTCTAATTCAATCGCTGCTGATGAGACTTGTGTGGAAGAAAAAACTTGTTGGGAGTATTATAAGCCCGTCATCTTTTATGAGTTTTGGTAACATTAAAATATTGAAAGCATTATAGACAGGAAGAGACTACCCAATACAGCCAATAGATCTGAAAATAGCTTATAGTGAGAATAGTACCAAGTGAGGATTGGCATGGCGGGTGGTGCATGCGTAGTAGGAGACGTGTATCCAATCTTGCTCCTTTAGTGGTTCATGTTCAGTGTTTGTTGGTTACCTTGTGTTGTCTCTTCTAAATTGTTTTTAAGACAGATTTGAAACATCAGTAAACTAATGTCGGTATAAGACAGACAAAAGGCATACAAAATGTTACTGGTTTTATTTACAATAAATTGGTAAATATTCAATTAATATCACAGGTTTTAGCTCAAAACAAAACAAGAGGTTCACTGGTACTTCATGATCATAAGTCACAATTTTACTGCACTAGATACACAAGTTTGTCATTGTTCCAAGAATCTTGTTTTGTGCATAAATGATTTAGGAATCTTAAGTGGGGTCTTTACTTCTGTATTCTTCAATCTATATATATGCTTTTTCTGAGGTCTTTAATTTTTTTTGGTCCATTTTCTTTATCTTTTAGCAACCCATTTTTTCTGTCTTTTTGACAATTAGAACAGTCCTAATCATGAGTATGAAATGTCATGTTATAAGAAGAAAATATAAAATGTTAAGGTTATGATTTTTAGAGTCTAGATTTTACATTCTATCAAAGCCTTTATGATTTATAAATTCAATGACAAATATAAGAATTGTCCCCTTTTATCATATAACTGATTAAACCCTCTATGACTGTAAATCTGAAGTGGAAGATGAATTACACTTCAGTATAAAAGTGCTAAACTCCACATGATCTGAATTTAGTCCTTTATATCTTTAATGTGAGGTCATTTGATTTGGGTCAAGAAATCTTTTAATATCATCCTTTTTTATTTACTCAATCTTTGAAATTATTGTAAACTTGTAAAATATCCAATCTAAAACAATACCAATCCAGCATGTTGTAACATATCAGAAAGAAAGCAATGATAAATGGATTTTTAATTAGATTGCAAATTATCTGATATGACAAACTTTGTAACTTTAAAAGTACCAATGAACCTTCACAAAAGCACTTAAAATATATGAAAAATTCTTAAAATATAACTCTCTAAAATAAAATTCTAGCAAAAACATTTGGTCATAAAACATATCTCAATTCTGGACGGATCTTTTATAATCTAATTCTTTTTTAAATATAAAATATAACTATTCTGACCGACAACATAAACAACAAATACGGGAGATTGTTCATAAAATACTGAGAAAAAAAATATATATTGTTTTTTTTCTGGTCTTTTGGGAATGCATTATAATAAATAAGAATATAAATGTATTTTTAGCTTTCAGCCAAAATTACCATTAAGTAAAGAAGTTCAAAGGTATTCACCATTACATAGATACTGCTTAAGCTTCAAACAATTCTCTGGTTCTTACTTTCACTTTCACTTCTTTTTTATCTAAAGCATATAATAATCATCAGTTTCTTACTTTCACTTCTTGCAGAAACAAATCCATTTCAAACACCTCTCAAAAGAGGCCTTACAATTTTAAAATATTCTGCATATGAGAAACAAAACTTATCGAAATTTAAGAAAAAATGTCATAATGCACTGAATGTTTAATGATTTTAAATTAAGACTTTTATAAAAAGCAAATTTACTTCTCTAATCATTTAGTGGACTATACTTCAAAATATCTCACTCTTGTAAATGCATTTTACAACTTTTTAATACAAGTCAGTTCAAAGGGAAGTAATTCATTTTAAAGGGGAGACAACTTCTAGCACTTGTGGTTGAAGTGAGGCTGTAGATATACTCGTCTCTGAAAAATATAATAAAATAAAATAATTATTAATTTTCTATCTGTGTTGTTTCTTCCATAATCATGAATTATTATATACAATTATATTTTTTATCAAAATTAAAAAATCCAAATCAATATTTAGAAAAGGATATGTTTCTCAAATGTGGACAACATGGAAATAACCAGCTGACTTGATTGAATAATTTTGAAAATAACCTTTTGATAATGGCCTTAATTGAATTATCATACTGAACTTAAAATTAGGTAGTACTTCTTTAGGTGCATGTTTTGTTAAGAGTTTTTTCTGTAGAATATCTTCTGTCTTCATCAGAACTACTATAGAATCTTGTGGACGCCACCATTTTCACCCGACAACAAGTAGTTATTTCTACGACGTGTAAAATAAGACCGAATTCAGAAATGTTATTTTTACTATGTGCACATTTCAAGGAAGATTTTTTGAGTTTGTCTAAGGAAAGTGATTATTTTTGTTAAAATTAAGGAAAAAAAATTTCTGTCAGAATTCCAAAACAAACAATTCTACTGAATAGTATACTGTAAATTCAGAAATTATTGCGAAAAATGCGACAGGGTTATAATCACAATAATTTAAACTCGCATTTTTGAAATTTTTTATATGAATTAAACAGGATTTTTCCCAATATCGCAAAAATTAAAATCGCATTTTAGTCTAAAATGACAAAATCACAATAATAAATGCACGCAATAATTTCTGAATTTACAGTACCTTAACATTAATGGAAGCAAAGTTACTCAGATGATAAAGAGGAACATGACTCACAATTTTAAATTATTACAAAATCTAAGTGTAAACTAACCTTCCAGTGAATGTCTGCCCCTTGATCCACCAGATATTGGCGGCAGGGATGGTGTTCTGTTACCCAGATGACAAGAAGGGAACCAGGCTAACAAGTTTAAATTTCAGACCAACTACAAAAAGTAATTGTATACCAACCTTCTAGTGAATGTCTGCCTCTTGATCCACCAGATATTGGTGGCAGGGGTGGTGTTCTGTTACCCAGATGACAAGAAGGAAACCAGACTAACAAGTATTGTATCAGACCGATTACAAATACTAAGTGTTTACTAACCTTCTGGTGAATGTCTGCCTCTTGATCCACCAGATATTGGTGGCAGGGGTGGTGTACTGTTTATTGCTCTACCAACATCTCCGTCTGACATACGTACACGTTTCTGTACTGACGGAGACGGTGTGTACTGATGGGCTGTCGGTGATGATGGCGGTACATTGTCTTTAACACCTATAATAATACACAGAAGTTAATAACAACACACATTGCATGATATAGTGCAGATCCCAAGTCACGAAGTAAGGAACCTTGTCATTGGTTGTCTAGATTCATTCATAAAATCTCAATGTCAAACGGGAAATTTATTGAGGGAAGACCTTTAATGGCCTTTATTTATTATATCAATGACTATTTCAGACACTTGCTGATGGCTGTATACACTTTTAAACTTTTTAGGCATTTCAATGTATTCTCTTGTATAGACATGGGGCCTTGGTGGAGGAGTGGTCTAAGTTGTTCATCTACTGTACCACTAGCCTGTCGACACTGCTGATGTGCATTCCACTCCAATCTTAAAAGATTAGGATTGCCAGTTTTACTGCCGAAAGTCAATGGTTCTCTAACGGAGACTCTACCAATTAAAAGTGGCTGCCACGAAATAGCCAATAGTGCTGAAAGTGGTGCTAAAATACCAAAAATCAATTGATTCAATTTTTGGAAAGAAAAAAACATTTCTTGTAGCAATCAAATAAATTTCAAGATCACCACAGTGCTGATCAAATCTGCATTAACATACATCCCAAATTTACCTTTACTTCATAAAAAAAAGCTTGTTCTCAAATAATGACTTACTAGAGAAAGTTGAAGGTCTAACTTGTCCTGGCGCTGGTGCTGGACGATTGACCGTCACATAAGATCGTAAATTATTCTGTGATGCATTGACAAGTCTGTCGTCCGACACACCAGGGGAGGTAATTCTGGTACTGAAAATAGTAAGGGAAATAACTGTTGTTAATGTTTATTCTTTTGTTTTCAATGTTATTTTTCTTTAAATTACTTCACAAGTTATACTATGTATCTGTGTATATGCATGGAAAGGAGCCCTTTTATTGAATTTAATAAAGTTTTGTATTTGTATTTCGTAATATTTGACCTCTTAAATACCTTTAATATGAATATTTAAAACAATTACATAATTGCACCACATGATTTCCTGAATGGAAGAACACTAAATCATTCTGACAAATCCCCTTATTCTGACCAATCAACATCCGGTTTTGTAACCTACCTTATATTATTCTGACCAATCATCATTCTATTTATATCTAATTCTAATATTCTAGGTGTGTTCATCATATTTGGATTCTGAAGCTCGTCAATGGCCCGTACCTGGGAAGAACCAATCTGTAAACAAGACAAATACAAAATTTTCTATGTTGTTATTTTGAATAGATCTGTATTAACTTCTGTATAAACAATATAATCAGAAGATCAAAGGCCTGAGGATTGATATTGATTGTAGGCTGGTATAGCATGTGATGCACACTTTACTATGTACTGTTCAATCTATCATATATAAAAACATGATAATTCTAAAGTATTCCAAACATGTTTATCATATATAAAAACATGATAACTCAAGAGGTATTCCAAAACAGTGTATGAAATTATAGGGTAGGTGATATATTGTATGATTGATTGATTGTTCCTTGCTTAATGTCCAATGGCAATTATTTGATGCATATTCAGGATAGACTAATAATTTACACAATATGCAGGGTCAGTAAGGTAGGCTTACCAGGGTTAAGGACCAAAAATTTGTCAGCCACTGGAAATAAGGATATGCTGGATGGGGCAGCAGAAATTTTACTTTGCAATAGGACACCAACAAACACATGAGAAAGTTGTTGCAAGTGTTCTTTAAGATACAGAGAGCATGGAATTCTCTAAACACAAGGCATCAACTAAACATTACCATTCTGACCAAATATCACTGCATGTTTATACATCCAGCACAGCCAAACAGATGTCCCACTTTAGCAACTGTTTAACTGCTGAAACAGGAGAAGTCCTTGTCACTATATTTCTATACCTAAGTCCAACCTTTGGGTGATATATGCTATGTCATAAAGGTACAGGAGAAGTCCTTGTCACTATATTTCTACACCCAAGTCCACCCTTTGGGTGATATGTGCTGTATCATAAAAAGGTACAGGAGAAGTCCTTGTCACTATATTTCTATCCCCCCCCCCCCCCCAGTCCACCCTTTGGGTGATATGTGCTATGTCTTTAAAGTACATGATAAGGGGTGCGTTATATTGGTTTTAGAGTAGCACCAATAGCAGAAAATTCAAACAGCATAAGTGGCTAAATATGTGATAAATATAAATAACAGATCATACCTGCTTTGTACTTATATTTCTTTTCAATATTTATAACATACCATTAGACGGATTATTATGACTAAATCCCCAGATTAGACAATTATAAATCTCGACACGATTAAGTTTTAAACTTTTGTTTACATGTTATGCAATCAATTATAAGTGTAACTCAAGTCTAGGTGGAGAATTAGAACAATGGATTAATATTCTGTATTTCTAACTTGCAGTTTTAGATTAAACAATTTAAGGTCAAGTTACACTAAATGGGCTATGTCACAGATTTTGGTAAAATTTTGCATAGAACTTTGGCTCATTGAAGCATATCTGAAAATCAAAACAATAATGCATTTATCTCTTTTATCATCTGAAATATTACTGATTGAATTCTTTCAAAATAGGTTAACTTTGTATAGAAGGCACATAAAATGGACGAAAAAACTTCTTAAATTTGTCATAAAATCATAAAATTTCTAATTTCTAATACATAGATTTTTCTTGGTATATAAATTTCCGTTTAAATGATGTAAAGTAATGATAGGGTCATTAATTTTTTCGATTTTCAGTTATAGGTTGCACTTCTGTAAATTTAGACAATGCAATTTCCCATAGGAACTCCCTTTACGGCTAAAACTGTGACACTTTTACTATGAAGTTTCGTAAAAAATTATATCCTAGAAAGGAAAGCTGATATGCACTACTATTTTATTCAAAGGTCAAATTATAGGGCTGTGTGGTATATTTTCAACATTTATATGCCCCGAAATTTTTAAGAGTTTAAACTAATACTAAAATTCTGTACTACCCCTCTCTTCACTTTGGGTCTTCCTCAGAATTCAATATCGCTGATATGCATGTGTATTTATACTGGTAACATTTCCAAGTTATGTCTCTATGAGAAGAAACATAGAGATCATAACTGGGAACCAGTACATAAACAAAACATCTATGAATATTATATATCTCCCCAAAAGAGGCGTGGTTTGTCAAACAGCTGTATTTACAAAGTGCAACCTATAGTTCAACGAGGCAAGATTTTAGCAAAATCTGTGACATAGCCCATTTACTGTTCCTTGACCTTAAACACTAGTGGTTACAATTATACCAACTACAAAAATCGGCCAGGTGAGCTAAAACGGGGAAGTAGGATGGGGTGTCATCCCAAACTCCTGGAAAAACAACCCTTAGATTCTGAGTTCTGGTAAAAGTAAATCCTGAATACCCGCAAAAATAAAGGTCTAATCCTGTTGTCCGGTAAAAAGTCCTTCATCCCCTCAAAGAACAGTTTTCTCAAATATGTATTACAAAGAAATCTTAAGGTAAAGATTTACATATTGTCCTAAATGCAGCTCTGTGTAATATAGTAAATACTTTTATGGATTGGAATAGATATATTGTTTAATTTTACCTCACCATGACCCATATTTCTTTATTCTATAATCTCTAAGACTTACATTCCATGTAGATCTCGGCACAGAGCCTACCCAGACCATTCCTGCCCCTGTTATACCACTATCGTCTCCCACTAGAGGGCGCAGTGGTTCCTGGCGGACTTCTTCTTCTGGTGCCTGAAATGTATTTACATCTCTACTGTTATAATCAATCTTATCCTTTCCACTATCAGTTTTGCTTTCAAATACGTTGTCCCTAAACAAAAATTCTGTGATTTTTTTTCTTGCCGCAAAATGTTAAAAGGTGAGTTTTTACTGTAATCTTTTTTTTATCAAACATGAGTCATAGGATAAAGCTTTGCTATGCTTATAATATAATTTATTTATAGTATGCAATATGTTTCAGAAGACAATTGAACAGGAAACCAAATAAATAAGTTCATTTTGTACATGGAATTAAAAAACAGAAGCTTTTCAATGTGTTTAACAGAGAAACTGTTAAAGACATATCTGAAAACGGCATTTATACAAAAAAACATATAAAGTCAATGATTTTCATTTCTAGTATTCGCACTTATATGCCAGTATTAAGCTAAAAACAATAAGCAGAGACTACATTAGGGAAAGGCCAAATAAATATACAAACCTACCAGTCTGATTGTATCCTACTCTGTTGACATAAGCTAAGATAAGAAATAGCTGAATTAATTTACCTGCATTAAGCTAGAACTAACATGTCCCCTTGTGAGGCCCCTGATATTAGATGCAGGAGTTGGTGCTGGTGCAAACGAGCTAATCTCCCGTGCGGGCGATATGTTTCTCTGTGGTCTCATTGGACGGGCAAGTTTTCCTGCATATCTCTCTTTGATGTCTCTGAAATAAAATTGTTTTAACAATGAAAATTACTGATCCAAAGGTAGATTTTCTCTAGTAATAATATTCACTCATCTGTCGGTTTACTTAAAAAAAACTACATGAATTTTTCTATGGATTAAATATCATTGCAAAAGAGAGGCAGAAAATACCATTAGTCGAAGACAAACTGACAATGCCATGGCAAGCAAGAATGTGTCCATAGTACATGGATGCCCCATTCGCACTATCATTTTCTATGCTCAGTGGACCGTGAAATTGGGATCAAAACTTTAATTTGGCTTTAAAATCAGAAAGATCATATCTTAGGGAACATGTGTACTAAGTTTCAAGTTGATTGGACTTCAACTTCATCAAAAACTACCATGACCAAAAACTGTAACCTGAAGTGGGACAGGCGGATTAACGGACGGACGGACAAACAAACGGACGAACGAACGGATGCAGGGATTGAAAACATAATGCCCCTCCACTATTGCAGGTGGGGCATAAAAAAATGAAAAACGACCAAAAGGCAAACAACCGTTTACAAAACACAACACATCACACTAAAGATTGAGCAACAGGAACCCCTTAAAAACAGGGGGTGATCCCAGGGGCTCTAGAAGCCTTCAAGGGTACTCAGTTCCTGCTCCATACATGGCAACTTTATTGACATAGATCTATTCACATTTGTTCAGGTTACAAAATTAATAGAAAAATATCATTTACATGATTAAGAAGAACCCTATTTCTTTATGATGCAACCTATATACCACTTTTCCAAACCTGTTAACTGCTCAAATTACACTCAAAACTCCAAAAGGGAATTTTAAGCTAAACAGAAGCTAATGAATCCCTTATACATGTTATAAAAGTTTTAATCTTACTTGCTATGGTTTTGAATGAATAAATACATCCCTAATTACCAATTTGATGCCTTTGAATAGTTTTTTTTAGTTTATATAAAAGAAAATTTCAAGAGTCAGGTCAACAATAATAATTCTGAATGTGGGTCTTCTGAGTACATGGAGACAGCAATTCAACAATAAAACAAAACCAAACGATATCTAGAACACACAACTTACACCTTTAATACAAGGAGACAGCAATTAAACAACAAAACAAAACCAAAAGATATCTAGAACACATAACTTACACCTATAATACAAGGAGACAGCAATTCAACAATAAAACAAAACCAAAAGATATCTAGAACACACAACTTACACCTATAATACAAGGAGACAGCAATTCAACACTAAAACAAAACCAAAAGATATATAGAACACACAACTTACACCTATAATACAAGGAGACAGCAATTAAACAACAAAACCAAACCCAAAGATATCTAGAGGTCAACAAACAGCCCAGGAGATTGGACAATTCTATACAATATCACAAGCTCAAACTCACACTATAAGTTATATGGTTTGCTACTGACCCCTTACGAATCCATAGAGGGTTAGTAAAATCCATAATGGTGAGGCTGACGGCAGAATCTCCTATGGATTTTACCTACCCTCTATGGATCCGTAGGGGGTCAGTAGTGAACCCTATAAGAATTTATCGCACAAGGGTCTTTCCTGCTAAGTTATGTAGAAAAATAGGCAATGAAATACAAAAATATTATTCAATGATGTCACCATTAATAGTTGACGTGACATCATGAAAATCAAATGAAATCTACTGACCCCTTACGAATCCATAAGGGGTCACCATTTGACAGCGTTAAACCAATCTTTATGTCATTATTTACTCGAGGTGCGATAATGAGTCTTAAAACATACAGGTTACTAATAAAAAAATAATTTGTTGAAGAAAAAGTTTGTAAATCACATTCATAAGTGAGAAAACCTTACATTGTTAGAGCAGGAATTTATTAAAAACAAGTTTGTGACTACAGTGGTAAAGTAATTCATTAAAACATAGTTGTGATGTGACTTGATCAAACAGTGACAGGGATTATAACCTTCAAACAGGTAACTTATCAACTCAAGGTCAAACAAAATAATGCAAAGATGGTGAACTCAGATTGTGATGTTATATTCATAAGTTGCTGATATTATGTCATCAATCAAAACATGTTATGATTTAGCTTTCAGAAATATAGTTTATTTCCTTTTGTGACCTTGAAATTTTATTAAGGGTAAATGTGAATTATGCTTTTACCGTAAGTAGTCTGGAATGTTTATTGTATCCCTTCAAGAAGAAAACATAAAATATATTTTAAATTATCTCCCTTTCTATAAGAATAAAATTGTTCTTATATCTCCTTAGAAAAAATTGTCCTGTTTTGCAAAAATAATCTGTAAATAAACTGTTATCACAGAGATATGTCTCGCCTTTTTGTAATTTTGATAATGCAAATGTTAAAATTAAAATAGCAATACTTTAACATGTAAGTAATGCAAATATTCAAAGTCAATGAACCATAACTGAAGGTACATGGCTAAACAATCTCCATGAAAATGAGATGAGCCAATGCTAATACAACTGCATACCTAATACCATTGACTTATTATAAGTCGTTCCCTTTAAACAAACCTAAAGACAAACATTTAACTTGTAAACTATGTAAAAGCTTCAAAGTCAATGAACCATGATGAGGGGGTGGGGCTATATAATCTCTATGGAAACGATACTTGCAAATGCCAATAAATTTGCATACCAATTATCATTGACCTACCACTAGTGGTTCCCCATAAACTGATCTAATCACAAACTAATACATGTAAACTAAGCAAAAGTTTCAAAGTCAATAGACCATGACTGAGGGGGTGGAGCCAAATAATATCCATGGAAATGAGATATGCCAATGTTTATACAACTGCATACCAAATATCATTGACCTACCACTAGTGGTTCCCCATAAACTGACCTAATCACAAACTAATACTTGTAAACTAAGCAAAAGTTTCAAAGTCAATAGACCATGACTGAGGAGGCAGGGCCAAAGAATCTCCATAGACATGACATGTGCCTATGCCTATACAACTACATACCAAATATCATTGACCTACTACATGTGGTTCACCATAAACTAGACCTAATCACAAACTAATACATTGTTGACGCTGCCGCCGGACTTTCCTCCTCTTGAATGAGAACATAGTTTTAATAAGGAAGATTCCTGACTTACCTCCCCCTGAATGAGTACATGGGTTTAATAAGGAAGATTCCAGACTTACCTCCCCCTGAATGAGTACATGGGTTTAATAAGGAAGATTCCCGACTGTTGTTCTATATTCTCTAATGTCTCCATTAAAATATTAGCAAATCTTAGTCTGTCATTGCCCATGTGGTCCATACCATCAGCCCATTGTTTGGCTCTCTAAAAATAAAAATAAATACCAGTTAGGAGACATTTTTCAAAACTACTAAATGATATAAACATGCATGTAAACAAAAACAAAAGCCAAATTTTATTTAAAAGGCTGGTATTATAGATATGTGCAAGGTGTGTTCACCTGGGATAAGCTGCAAAAAAAGTTTGGCACTGAGACAAGTTTTATAAATGCATGAAAAAGGTGTCTGGTATTATAATATTTCAGTTAAAATGCTATCAAATATTATTTGAGAATGTACAGTTAGAATCACATTCAGAGTTTTATTAGCAAAAATTATCAAATTCCTCAAAGCAAGCTCCAAGGATGCCCCTAGTATCCTGGTTTTCCTCCTTATAAGCTTCACAAAGCTCCAAGTATCCTAGTTTTCTTCAAAGCAAGCTTCCAGCATGTCTCTAGAATCTTTGATTTTATAGCTGTTATTACATAAGATTTGATTTGTCATTTTCAGCTTCCCATCCTAGGCAGCCCACTTCTGCTAACTCAAATTTAACCCTAGATGTAAGATATTGAAATGAGACTCTGATTTTATATTTCTTAATGTATAGTTATTAATTTTTTATAATGAAATAAAAGGAATGTACCTCTAATCGTTATCATTATTAGACACTGGGGACTTTTTCCGTGCTCTACGTTTGATTCCAATGGAATGGGTGAAAATGACAAAATCCTAGCTCCGATTTAAAGTATAAATATATGTTCCCCTATCTTAATACCTTATTTTGAAAATTTTCCATTTTGTCCAAAACTTCAAACACATTCTCATCTAAACTCTTACTTTTCTTCACATTTTCTGAAATATAAATATTGTAAAAGTGTACAACAATTCCTTAATGAAATACAATTGAATATATAATCAATCTACACTTTCAATCAGAATTGTACAATCAAACCAGCTATAAGGTCACCTCTATTAAGTGAAAACCTGTGAGTGAGCTAAGACTTGTACAATCAAACCAGCTATAAGGTCACCTCTATTAAGTGAAAAACTGTCAGTGAGCTAAGACTTGTACAATCAAACCAGCTATAAGGTCACCTCTATTAAGTGAATAAACTGCTTCGCTGAGCGCAGCTGGATATGCCCGCAGAGGTCCAACCCTGAACAGTTGGGGCAAAAATGGACACAATATTCAAGTTTGATACAGGTCTGAATTTGGATTGTAAATAAATATTTGACATATTATAGGTTTCTGAATAAATGTAGTCAAAGAACTTGAAATTGGTTATATGAATTAAATTTATATTCAATTAAAGATTTCTTGCTGTTGTACAATACACTGTGTTGTTGTGCAATATACTGTGTTGTTGCGCAATACTTAGTAAATCTGTTGTCAGACTATAAACAAATAAAATCTTATAACTCGGAAACGTATCATTGAAAATTTATAAAAATCAAAAGGGAGCTTACATCAATAGATATAAACAATTTAGAAAAGTTTCATAAAAAATGCATTCAGCATTTTTGAGTTATTGTCCGAAAACTGGAAAATCCCCCTTTTTGTAATGAAAAAAAAAACCCATAAATCAGAAACATATAGTCTAAAATTTATAAAAATCAAAAGGGAGCTCATGTCGATAGAAATAACCAATTCACCAAAGTTTCTTGCAAATTGGTGAAATTGTTTTTTAGGTTTTTGTCAGAAAACTGGAAAATCCCCCCTTTTTTAATGAATAAAACCCCAAAACTCGGAAACGGTAAATCTGAAATTTATAAAAAACGAAAGGGAGCTCATGTCAATAGATATAAACAATTCTCAAAAGTTTCATGCAAATTGGTGAAATTGTTTTTGAGTTATTGTCCGAAAACTGGAAAATCCCCCCTTTTTTAATGAATAAAACCCCAAAACTCGGAAACGGTAAATCAAAAATTTATAAAAAACGAAAGGGAGCTCACATCAATAGATATAAACAATTCTCAAAAGTTTCATGCATATTGGTCAAAGCATTTTTGAATAAATGTCCGACATGTTGACGACGGACGGACGGACAGTCGGACGGACGGACAACGGTATACCATAATATGTCCCTTAAACGGGCGTATAAAAACTGTCAGTGACCTAAGGCTTGTACAATCAAACCAGCTATAAGGTCACCTCTATTAAGTGAAAAACTGTCAGTGAGCTAAGGCTTGTAAAATCAAACCAGCTATAAGGTCACCTCTATTCTGTGAAAACCTGTCAGTGAGCTAAGGCTTGTCCAATCAAACCAGCTATAAGGTCACCTCTATTAAGTGAAAAACTGTCAGTGAGCTAAGGCTTGACATATGATATAGACAACTGGCTATTGTTGAAGACTGTAGGTTGACCTCTACAATTATTTTTTTTTGGTTTTTTTTTTTTTAGTGTTATTACTGGTTGTTTGTCTTGATGACTATTACCACTTAAAAAGACTTATTTTTCACTCTGATTATTTAAAGCTGATGTATGTCTACAAATTATCTTAGCAAATTAAGGCTATTCAATGAATACACACATGAAATAAAAGGAAGGTACTATGGTTGCTTTTTTCTATTTTTGTGGATTTTTTTTTGTAATATTGTTTGGAGGCTGTCTGTAGGACTTTAACCCCATAAAAAATTTATGAATCTGTCTCATTATATAAAGCTCAAGTGTGTGTACAAACTATCTTTATATAACTGTAAATTCAGAAATTAATGTGTTCCTTTATTATTTCGATTTTTGAAGAATGGATAAAAATGCGAGATTAATCATTGTGATTTCAGGAAAATCTGCATACAGATTTATGTGTCAGATATCAAAATGCAAGTTCTTATTATTGAGATACTCACCCAGTCGCAATATTCCCATAAAATGCTCCGCTGGGCGCAGCTTGATACGACCACAGAGGTCGAACCCTGAACAGTTGGGGCAAGTATGGACACAACATTCAAGCTTGATACAGCACTGAATTTGGATTGTGATTAAATATTTGACACAGCATAGGTTTCTGACACAGAATGAATGTGGTCTAAGAACTTAAAATTTTGTAATTTACCTATTCAAACCATATCATTATTATTTGCTTTTATATATCAATCAGAAATAACCAATTTAAAATGGAAAATTTTAAAGAAAAAAAGGGAAAAAAATCCCCCCTCAAATTTTTTGAACACCCTTATGATTCATCACCCCAAACTCAATCCCAGCCTTCCCTTTGTGTTTCAATGTATGGTGCCTTGCAGTACAATTTCAGAGAGATCCGTACACTTGAACACAAGTAATTGTCTGGAAACTAGAAAAATGCTTGTTTTTTTTGCCCCTTTTTTGCCCCTAATTCCTAAAATTTTGAGGCAATTACCCCAAAAATCAATTCCAGCTTTCCCTTTGTGGTATGGTACCTTGCAGTACAATTTCAGAGAGATCCATACACTTGAACACAAGTTATTGTCTGGAAACTAGAAAAATGCTTGTTTTTGGCCCCTTTTGGCCCCAAATTCCTAAACGTTTAGGGCAATTACCCCCAAACTCGAACCCAGCTTTCCCTTTGTGATATGGAACCTTGTTGTACAATTTCATAAAGATCCATACACTTACACACAAGTTATTGTCCTACTAGAAAAATGCTTTTTTTTTTGGCCACTTTTTGGCCCCTAATTCCTAAAATTTTGAGGCAATTACCCCCAAAATCAATTCCAGCCTTCCTTTTGTGGTATGGTACATTGCAGTACAATTTCAGAGAGATCCATACACTTGAACACAAGTTATTGTCTGGAAACAAGAAAAATGCTTATTTTTGGCCCCCTTTTGGCCCCTTATTCCTAAACGTTTTGGGCAATTACCCCCAAACTCAATTCAAGTTTTCCCTTTGTGATATGGAACCTTGTAGTACAAGTTCAGAAAGATCCATACACTTACACACAAGTTATTGTCATGAAACTAGAAAAATGCTTGTTTTTTGCCCCCTTTTTGGCCCCTAATTCCTTAACTGTTGGTACGATAACCCCCAAAATCAATCCCAACCTTACTTTTGTGTTATTGAACCTTCTGGTAAAATTTGATAGAGATCCATTCACTTAAACTAAAGTTAGATTGCGAAAACCAATGTGTCTTCGGACGACGACGACAACGACATCATACCAATATACGACCACAAAAATTTTTTGAGGTCGTATAAAAACCTCACAATAATTTCTGAACTTACAGAGCTGATCCAAAATTATCAAAAATCAAAAATCCAGAAATACAAACACAGGACCAAGAACAATGGACTTCAAATTCTTAATTATTACTGGGTGTTAAAGACAATGAAAATAAAGAGAAATTCTAAAATTTCCTCTATAGAAGGTGATCTGATTTTTACAATGCCTACCCTGGTTACCTATGCTTTATTACACCAGTCGTTAGATTAGTTGTCTCCCTTACCTTCTATTTCCTTCATTCTACAGTGATGTACATATTTTCTGACAAGATGAGCTAATCTTTTGGCTGGTATACTGACATAGTCCTCCATTTTGGACACAGCATCCTTTAGAAAAGAAAAATATTCGAAACTGAGAAATTTTCCAGCTCAAAACATTTATAAATACTGTTTCAAAAAATACTTTCAATTTCAAATTATGGCATCAATATGAAATTGAAAACCAAGCGTACAAATAACTGTATTATAGTTATGTCAGATCACTTTAACATCTATTTTCCATGGGTTACAAATAAGAGTTTATCATCCATTTTTTATACCATGATTTTTAGTGATAAGTGGACTATCAAAGATAAATTTTTATTTTTTTGTTGTTATATGAAATTAAAAACTTCATTTTGGTTACAATTTCTTATGATAACAAAAAAATAATAAAAGTTGTTTTCCAGCTTGATTCCTTACTGAAAAGGGACATAACTAACTTTATACTGGTCTGGATCCAGTTTCTGGTCATTGACAGCTCTCTTCATTATTTTGGCATTTCTTTCAGAATCCAGTCTAGTAAACATGATAGCAGACTCTGCTTGTCCCTAAAATAAAAAGATGAAATAAAAAATTTTCAATAAGTGCTCAACCTTGTTTACATTATTTAACAATTAAATCATTTACAAAAAAATTATTTATTTGATACTTTTAATGTTTTAAACGTCATTAAACATTCGACATTTTTGCAACCAAGTCATGACTTTCAGTCATAAAACTTGACTCAGTCCTGGGTGTACACAAATTTGTGCTCAAAGCACCAAATCCAGTATTCTGACTGGTTAATTTCTGAATCTCAGTTTGCTAATTGGACCAGGCCTTGCGTTCATAAAACTTTCGTGCACGATTATCGTACTCAAGACTCAGAAATCAACCAATCAAATTATCAGATTTGGTGTTTCGAGCACAAATTTTGTACTCCGTGTACCGAGTAATGTTTTAGGACCAAGGGCCCTGATCCTTTCATATAGAAAAAAAAAGAAACTTTTACATGGTAATGTTGTAGTTTTTCAAGTATTTTTGGGATAACTAAACATGCCGTCTTAGGCAACCAAGTTCTATTTGTTGTTCATTTATCTTGCCTTAGCATTACAGTTCTTGGATTGAGGTCAGGTGACGCTTACCTGTGCTGTGGCCAAGTCAGAACTTTGTCGTATACGACTAGCAGACCTTCCCAGGTTACCAAGTTCTCGTTGTAGTTCATTAATCGTATCCTGCATTTGACATACCTAGAGCGTGGCCAGATCAGAACTTTGTTGTATACGACTAGCAGACCTTCCCAGGTTACCAAGTTCTCGTTGTAGTTCATTAATCGTATCCTGCATTTGACTTACCTGTGGTGTGGCCAAGTCAGAACTTTGTCGTATACGACTAGCAGACCTTCCCAGGTTACCAAGTTCTCGTTGTAGTTCATTAATCGTATCCTGCATTTCCATCATGACAACTGTATTATGTCTGATCTGTTCTTCATGTTTCTTTGATTCACCCTCAAACTGTTTTTGTCTGGAAAAAAAATGTAATGTATGAGTTACCTCCCCTTGACTAATTTCTGTATAAGGAGAAATGAATTTTTAACCCTAATTCCAAATGTTTCTGTCAGGGAAATAATTTAATATAAGAGTTACCCCACCAATCTCATACTCTTTATTAAACCCTTTGATATTTTTTCTAGAAATGTTTCTTTAAAGCCAACTCAAACTTTTTTGCCTAAAAAATGGCATGTAAGAGTTAGCTCCCCTTGACCAAATACTGTTTTAAAAGAAGATATTTCGTTTTCACCACTTTAAACTGTTTTCAGTGAAAAAATAAAATACGAAATTTATCTCTCCTAAACCAATAAATGTCTGAGTAAATATTTTTCTTCATGTATACCTAAAATGTTTTGCCTGGAAAATATTTGTAAAACTCTAAAAGTTACTTCCCCTTGACCAACTACTAATTGTGGAGGTAATGTTCTTGGAGAAAAATTTCTATGCACCTTTCTTTCTTTTCTTCTTCTTTTTTTTAAATATTTGTGACTATTCATTCTGATTTCAATACAGTGATTCACTTACAGTTTGGCATAATTATCTTGCAATTCAATCAAAAGACTTTTATCAAGCCCAGGACTAGCCACAGAAGATACACGGCTCTGACGCAGACCTCCTCTGATGGAATCTCCTGATTTCTCTCTCGTCATTGGTTTTGTTCCCTCCCTTGATATCATCATGGAAGACACTACTGGTTCCTGTAATAAAAAAGGACAAACTGAGGTTTTGTTCATAGATATCTAATATTTGTTTTTTATTAGTTTGTTGAGAAAAAGTCAAATTTATATGTATTCTAATTAAAGAATTTTATGCCACTATGAATACGGCAGAAATTTTTTCATAGATTTTTCTTATTCTAACTTATCACCAAAGGAAGTCCATTCACATTCATTCAAATCAAATATGACATTGTGTAACATTGGTTACAAGAGCTTTCTTAAGTTTTTGATAAGGTATATTGTATTATCACTTCTTGTGGTTAAAAGATATGGCATATCTATTCGGGGGGGGGGGGGGGGGGGGGGGGGGGGGGGGGGGGGGGGGACATCTAAAAATGTTCCCAACTCCCACTGTGGCTGGATGGGCATAGCAAAATGCATGTTAGCTGTAGAGTATTTTAAGCTCTACTAATAAATGATATATAAAAATTCTTAAAATATGCAAATGAAGACTGAATATGATATTGATACTTGAATTTAATATTTACAGAGGTTAAGGATTGAGGTCAATATAAAACAAACTTTTTAAATACATACCCTCTCTTCTGTATACAAAATACTTCCCAAAACAGCTATTATCTCTTCAAATACTGAAAAAGAATATCAAAGGTAAGTAATGAATAAAATTAAGTCTCATATAACCCAGGCATCTACACAATTGAACAACTATATGTCCACCTTAAACATCATGCACAAGGAAAAATATGAATAAAAGCACTAATATTACTCTGTTTCAAGTATTATCCAGTTCTTGGAGGAATTGTGTGGCAGGAATTAATACAACATATATCCTTTTCTTTCTATACTTGTTTCAAATTGTTTTTTACACGACATTTACCTCAGGTTTTTGAAGATATTTTAAATTTGAATGTCTAAACAAAATGGGATTTAATAAAGACTGTTTTCCTAAAGATCTATCCTGTACTCTCTCCCCTACCATCAATTGACAGTTATATGCATTTGATTTTATTCTCTACATTTGCAGTTCTTTAACCACCTTTGTTGTCATCTATCTGTCAGAAAACTTATACAATAAGTATTTCATAATTTGGTGTAATTCTCTCCACTTGAAGTTCTGTAACACCCTTGCTTTACCGTCATCCCAATTACCTACCTGTCAGAAAGCTTAAAGTAATATGCATTTGATGTTCCCTCAAATGTGGTTGTCTATCCTTCCACAACACCCTTTCAGAAAACTAACATTAATAAAAATTCAATTTCATTCTCTTTATTTAAGGTTCTCTATACCCCTCCCCCTCTACTCCCCCTTCCCCACCTCAGAAAACTTACAGTAATAAGCATTTGAGGTCATCATCTCCACTTGGGGTTCAAGTTTGTCGTCTCTATCAAATCTAGCCGTCTCTAATTCAGTTAGAACTTGACTAGCTTGTAACATTTCTGGAAATATACATATATGTAGTAATTATCTCCCTTTAACAACTCACAGAAATATATAGGAGTTATCTCCCTTCAACCACATGAAAATGAAAATTTCAGTAGTTCTACCAACAACAAAAAGAAATATACAATGGAATAATTTTTATTATTATAGTAAAAGATAGGTCTCATGTAAATAAAATAGAATAATTCTGTAATTTACATAATATTCCCTTTTCATCTACACCAATATGAGTGTACAAATTCAACTTGAGGTACTCTTGGACAACTATTGTTTTTAATGTTGTAATGTATGGATACAAAGCAGCATAAAACATTAATTGTAGAGATTCTTTTTTGTATGTCAGATTTTTAATTACTACTTTATTTCTTTATTTCCTGTTTTTATCATATTGAATCAGAATAATAACAATTAATTGTTTGAAAAATAAGTATACAACATCAAAAGATAAATGTTGAAATTATTATTTAATAATAATATTAATAAGTTAATTACTTATAGTATAAATTTAAAGTTTTGTGCCCGTACTTATGTTTATTCTTTCCTTGTTTGCCCTCACATACCTTTATCTAGTAATATTTTACTAAGAGCATCCCTGAAGCTTATAATACTATCGTAAGTCTTTAAATATTCTTGTATGACTGGGTCATCAGGTTTGGTTGAGTACCTAAAACAAAAGTTCACATTGTCTATTATGATCATAATCAGTACATGAAATCAAAGCATTGTGTATAAGTTCTATAACATTTGGTTGAGGCAAACTAAAGTTAGAGAACGGATAGTAATTTTGGGACGTAAGTACGTATGGACGGATGGACAAGGGTAACACGTAATGCCCCCTTTGCCTAGTGGCAGGGGCATAAAAATAATACTGCCCTTAGAGTGACTTGAGACAGAGCCATGTAACCTTTGGTCCATCCCAACAAGGAAGGATCCAATCTTCAATTGTTATTTTTTTTTTCTGATGGGAGATGATTGACTATTGTTTACTAAATGTCCAGCTGCAAATATTTCATGTAGATTGGCTTGAAATTGTTTTTCTAGAAACCAAAGTCAATCTGTGAGACCCCTGAAATCTCAATTTTCAGATGTTCATATCACTTTAAGATTATCATTTTTTTCTTAATTAATAGATATATATATAGCTAAAATTGCCACAGATTCATAGTATTAGTAACAGATATAAGATTTTCAAAAAAAAGGGCTGGGGGGGGGGGGGGGGGGGGGGGGGGGGGGGGGGGCTATTGCAACAAATGATCACTTCCACGTGAAAGGACAGAACTTACCTTGCAATGGAATGCTGTCTATCTAGAGGAGGAGATGTAGCCACATCCATTGTCGGCTCTCGACTTCTTGCTTCTAAAAATAAACATAAAACTTCAATATAACATGTGATCAATTCTATATAAGGAATTATAAGATATGGAGGTACGGAACATGTAAATGGGACAGCACTCTAGATCTCACAACACAAAAAATAAACAAAAAACTTCAATATAACATGGGATCATATCTATATTAGGAATTAAAAGATAAGGATTCACGGAACATGTAAATGAGATAGCAATCTCACAACACCAAAATCTTTTTTTTTTAAATCAATATAACATGTGACCATATCTATATTAGGAATTAAAATATAAGGATTCATGGAACATGTAAATAAGACAGCAATCTACCATTACAAAAATAAAACAAAATTCTTCAATATAACATGGGATCATTTCTATATTAGGAATTATAAGATATGGAGGTACGGAACATGTACATGAGACAGCAATCTACCAACACAAAAAATAAACAAAAAACTTCAATATAACATGTGACCATTTCTATATTAGGAATTATATGTATTGTTTAGATTCTGACATTGATTTGTAACCTAAATTTCTGTCCATTTACCATTTTAATATCAATAGAGCCAAAAGCAAGAGTGTAGATACATAACTGACACCTAACAAAGTGTGAAAAATATTGAATAATGAAGGAATTAATAATTTAGTAAGCATTCTGCAGTTTTATTTAATAAAAAACTTGTTTGATTTCTTTGTCAGATATGATTGATAATTTATTGATATTAACTGGTGCTATTCTTTTTAGGTTTAAAATTGTAACATCTATGATACAAGGGTAGAACAAAAATAGCATAGGACAAATAAATCATATTTAGAATTGTCTTACTCATAGGACAAAAAGGTCAATATTCAATTATTCATTGGGTACTCATTTTCATGCAATTCTTAGGTATAGGTCAACCAAAAATTTAATATAAATGTATGCCATAAAAAATAAATTCTTTTTATGCAAGATAAGTAAACTTGATTTTCTTTCTTCAATTTTATCTTATATCAATAAATTACAAACAGGACAGAGCAAAACCACATGTAAGACAGTTGTACACTTAGTAGCATTTTTTTCGAATGTAGGACAGAAAGTCACAATTCAGTTTGAGATTATTTTTCTTTGAATAAGAAAACACTTATTTTTAAAAAACTTGAATAGTATTTTTATTGAATTATTATATATAAAGCAACTTTGCAAAACAAAATTTATTCTGAAAAAAAATACAATAATGATCATATAATTGTTAAGAAAACAATTTGTCAAAGTGGCTTGGTACTTAAATGGCTACATGTTGTCAAGAAATATATCCTTTGAATGTAAAATTTGATAAATCTTCATTTATCAAGGCTTATGAACAATTTCCTTCACAGTAAAATGAATATATGTTATAAAAAGAAATTATTTCAAGAACTTTCTCTTATATATTCAAACAATATTATACAAATTATTTGTGACTTTTGTCCTGTGATTTTTTGTCCTGTAACTTTCTATCCGTTTACCTTTTTCAACGTTAATTATTTTGTTCTTTTAAATTAGAGATACATTATATTTCTTTTCCAAAACAGAAGCCATGACAATATTTTGTTTTTCATGGGAACAAAACCGATGTAAACCTGGTTGTATGTTTTTCAATGTTTATTATTTGCTTTCTTTATAAGTAGGAACAGATCTCTATCAAAACATTGGCCATGACAGTTTTTATTTTTTGCATGGGGTTAAACCCAATGTAGGACAAAAAGTCATTCCAAAATATGTCACTAGTAAGATAATCCCTTCTTTGAAAAACAAAAAACTTTTACTTAGTCATTATTTTATAATATCTATTTGATAGGAGCTAGCAGCTCTCATAATTTCTCAGGTTAATTTTTTATTATCAAATAAGATAAGCTATGAAATAAGATCTTTTAATTATATGGTGCCTTTGTGTTAATTAATAAATATGATCTAAATTTTATACATCTTCATTTGACAATACTAATGAACAATTTCCTAAAATGAAAAATGACTTATAATAATAACTTTATCTTATACATTGAAATAATCCCCTTTCTATTTTCTTTTTTCTAGGTTGACAATCCTGACTGATTTAAGAAAATCGCAAAGAAAATGGACCTTTATAATTATGAAATACATTTTATGTGGCTAAATGGTATCCAAATGTGTAGTCTAATTAATTTCAATATTATTTTTCAAAATACCAATAAATCAATCTGATAAAAATTAAGTCCTTTTTCTGTGAAATACTTTATTTTATTCACTGCAAAATATAATCTTGAAATAAAAACCAACAAATATTTAACATGGAAAAATTATTTAAGAATAGATGATGGAAAATATTATGCACACATTTTTTTTGTGTTGCTTCTATTTTTTTAACATCTGGATTAGAAAAAGATTATGGCCTTAGACTAATTAAAGGATTAAAACTGATAAAAAACAAACATCAAGGAAAAGCTGTGGGACAATTAAACAATTACAGGGGCACCTGTTAATTGTCAAACTCTGACCCCTGAGTACTTTATGGCTTGGGTATTTCCTGGGGTTGAGTTAGGTAATGTCATTACTATAATTACATTTAATTGTCAACGATGCCGTGTCAAGATCACTCAACCTTGTATAACAAGTTTCTTATTGGACAACAACTCGATAAACTCCTCCCCTAATCCGAAATTCATCCAATGATTAAAAAGTAAAATAGACTGATCCGTCGAAATGAGACTGACCTGAGTTGTGTCTGATGTAATAATAAATACCCAAATTACAGTGTGGTCAGTGTAGAATTGAGTGGACACACATAAGTACAAGAAATACACAACAATGGCTGGTGGTAAAGCAGGAAAAGACTCAGGAAAGGCTAAAGCCAAAGCTGTCTCTAGATCACAAAGAGCAGGTAAGCTTTCATTAATGAAAAGCTGAAATTATTTTAATTTGATGAATGAAATTTTGTGTAATTACACCCACCCAAGCTTCTATCTTTAGAAAAAAGCTCTTTTCCCGCCAAAATAACCACATGATGCACAAATTCTGTGCTATGGTTACAATTTATTTTATTATATATTATAAATGTTCAATTAATTGAAAAAAAATACATTATTTTTAAAGAAATCTTTTATTTATCATATATTTTGTTTCCTACATTGATTTCTTTATTTTGTGTTCTAAAAAATATGATGCTAAGGTCAGAGAGTTCATCACTCATCAGCTATACATTGTATAATCACGTATAAGTAAATTTTCTTATTCTACTGGCCGAATCACTGGGAAAAAAATAGTGCTCAGAAATAATGAAATCCAAACCTACAATCATTTAAAAAGTCAATATCAACATTAAAATATTTACTGTATATGCCCCCAGGGTGTAAACATTTATAAAATAAAGTAAATGGGCATGTAATTTGACCTAAATAACTGGTGTAAATAGTCACACAAAATGAACTTAAATGTGTAGTTCAAAAACTTGTGTGAAATAAAGAAATGACTTAAACGACTGTTACACTTAAATCAAACAAATTTGTCTCTAAAACAACAAAAAAATGATAAATATTCTTAAGAGGGTCATATAGATTTAAAAATAAAAGGTGTCAGAGTGAGAGTTGGACATCAATGTTTGGAATATTCATGTACATCCTACTTTAAATAAAATAATTTAATATGGAGTAAAAGCTTTGCAATGAGAGACTGTCCACCAAAGATGGTTTAATTTGAAATAATGAGTAAATTTAAATTAAAAAAAATAGAAAAACAAAAAATGAATAATACATTTGTACATTTACGCTTGTGTTCACTTGTACATGCAACAAGCTCAGACATTTCAATTTGTTCATAGATTTCGTAAGAGTAAAAGTTAATTTGACAGCAACCCAACAATAAAAGCATACACCCATACAATATATGCTGTGATAATACATACAATTTATGAAATATATTTTACAGTTAATGAACAATCATTTTTAGACTAAAATTTCTGTTTTATTTTTTCAGGATTACAGTTCCCAGTGGGTCGTATTCACAGACATCTTAAACACAGAACAACCAGTCATGGCCGTGTTGGTGCCACAGCAGCTGTTTACAGTGCTGCCATCTTGGAATACCTGACTGCTGAAGTTTTGGAGTTGGCAGGTAATGCCAGTAAGGATTTGAAAGTAAAGAGAATCACACCCCGTCATTTACAGCTTGCCATTAGAGGTGACGAGGAGTTGGATTCTCTCATCAAAGCTACGATCGCTGGAGGTGGTGTCATCCCACATATCCACAAGTCTCTCATTGGAAAGAAAGGTCCACAAGGAAAGGCATAAATGTGTGTTCATCAGTGACTTTTAAAGGCAGCTTTTACAAACATCTCATTGACAGTGCTCAATAGTTCATAAACTTTCATCAAACATTCAGAATTTCATTGGAAAACTTTTTTCGTTTATTTTAAACTAATCATCAAACAATAATGTGATTTTAACAAACCTTACGGGTAAAAACACAGAAGGTTATTATAGACAATTAGTAAAATGTAGTTCATACCATCTATGTTTTTATTGAAATAAAATTTTTAAAATGTATGTTTTACTTTAATTATTATTTCAGTCACAGCTTACTGTCATATTTTTGTCACTTGGCGTCTATTGTTAATCTTTTCTTCAGTTATTGAGATAATTGATAATGAGGGTGTCTTGAGTCTTGGTGAAAAAACTTGCACCATAACGTTTTGTTCACTCTAAACAAGAAATAGTACAATTGCCAACAAGACAACTATCCAACAATTTCAAAATTCTTCAACAATGAGCAAAACCCATGCCATATAGTAAGCTATAAAATGCCTTAACATGAAAAAATATTAAACAATTCAAACAAAACCAATGGACTGATCTGATTTATACCAATACAAGCCCCATACAATGAACCTAAAAATGAGACATGCAGATACCCCTGTAATACATGCCCCTAACTTAGGAAAAAGATTTACATCATGTCTCATATCATTGAATACTTGTAGTTACTGAATGCAAGTGAACAACACATTAATCATGTTCATTGCCAATGAGACAGCTATCCACTTGATAATTATGACCAGGTAATTGGACTCAAATTTTAGGTAATTAGTCCCCTACCAACAATTCAAAGGGGACTTTAGGTTTGCACTCCGTCCGTCTCGGTCCAATCATCAGTCCGGTTAATCAGTTTCCCACACACTCTTTCTTCATGCTTGAAGATATTTATTTGATATTTGGTGTATGGTTTTTCATACGCCCATTTACGGGACGTATTATGGTATACCGTTGTCTGTCTGTCCGTTCGTCTGTCCGTTTGCCGTCGTCAACATGTCGGCCATTACTTCAAAAACGCTTTAACCAGTACGATGAAACTTTGGTGAATTGTTTATATCTATTGACGTAAGCTCCCTTTCGTTTTTTATCAATTTCAGATTTACCATTTCCAAGTTTTGGGGTTTTATTCATTAAAAAAGGGGGGATTTTCCAGTCATCGGACAATAACTCAAAAACAATTTCACCAATTTGCATGAAACTTTTTGTAAATTGTTCATATCTATTGACGTGAGCTCCCTTTCGTTTTTTATAAATTTCGGATTTACCGTTTCCGAGTTTTGGAGTTTTATTCATTAAAAAAGGGGGGATTTTCCAGTTTTCTGACGATAACTCAAAAAATATTTCACCAATTTACATGAAACTTTTGTGAATTGTTCATATCTATTGACGTAAGCTCCCTTTTGTTTTTTTTATAAATTTTGGATTTACCGTTTCCGAGTTTTGGGGTTTTATTCATTAAAAAAGGGGGGATTTTCCAGTTTTCAGACAATAACTTAAAAACAATTTCACCAATTTGCAAAAAACTTTGGTGAATTGTTTATTTCTATTGACATGAGCTCCCTTTTGATTTTTATAAATTTCAGACTATTAAGTTTCCGATTTATGGGGTTTTATTCATTACAAAAAGGGGATTTTCCAGTTTTCGTCAATAACTCAAAAATGCTTTCAGCATTTTTATGAAACTTTGGTAAATTGTTTATATCTATTTTTGTAAGCTCCCTTTTGATTACTATAAATTTTCGATTTTACATTTCCGAGTTATAAGATTTTATTTGTTTATAGTCTGACAACAGATTTACTAAGTATTGCGCATTGCACAACAGCAAGAAATCTTTCATATAACCAATTTCAAGTTCTTTGACTACATTTATTCAGAAACCTATAATATATCAAATATTTAATTACAATCCAAATTCAGACCTGTATCAAGCTTGAATATTGTGTCCTTTTTTGCCCCAACTGTTCAGGGTTGGACCTCTGCGTGCGTATCCAGCTGCGCTCAGCGAAGCAGTTTTATTCATGACAAGTTACAGATCATGTTCAAATTTTGTTCCAGTCTGATGATTTTGTGCAGAGTAATGGTCCTTGAACTTAGAAAATTCACTGAAATAATCAGTTTTCTGCACTTTTTTTGGTCATGCTTGAAGATATTGATTTGATGATTGGTGAATATTTTTATCATGACAAGTTACAGATCAAGTTCGAATATTGGTCTGGTCTGATGATTTTGTGCAGAGTTATGGTCCTTGGACTTAGAAAATTCACTCAAATAATCAATTTTCCACAAATTTCGTGCAGAGTAATGGTCCTTGAACTTAGAAAATTCACTGAAATAATCAGTTTTCTGCACTTTTTTTGGTCATGCTTGAAGATATTGATTTGATGATTGGTGAATTTTATCATGACAAGTTACAGATCAAGTTCGAATATTGTTCTGGTCTGATGATTTTGTGCAGAGTTATGGTCCTTGGACTTAGAAAATTCACTCAAACTCAAATAATCAATTTTCCACATTTTTTTCGTCAGACATTGACTTGATATTTGTTATATAGTTTACCCCATGACAAGTTATAGATCAAGTTAGCATTTTGTTCCAGTACAATGAATTTTAAACCGGTAGGGGAAATATGTATCTCTTTGTACCAAATGTATATTGTATAAAACTGTTTAATGAGAAAAATGAAAGTGATTTCCATGGAAACAGCTGGTTTTAAAGTGACAAAAACTTTGAATTTATACAAAACTTAGAGGTCCCAAGACCCAAGCACTAATTACCTCTTCAGTTACCAACACACATGACTCACTGCAAGCTACTAATTTGAGGAATCCTTTAAAATTTTAATAGGTTTCCAAAAAGTTTTATTCTGCATTTATGGAAAGTACTTCAGAAAAACTGAAAAGTGTTACATTATAAAATACCCAATTTTACACATTCTACGAGCCTTTTTTTACAACCACAATTTTTTTTGCATTCATCTTATGTTATGTTGATGTCATCATCCAAAGACATTTTAGAATAAGTGTGTGGATCTCTATGAAATTTTAGCACAAGGTTCCATACCACAATAGGAATTTTGGGAGTATTGTCGTAGCTGTTTTGTAATAAGGGGCCAACAAAAACAATAATTTTTCTGGTCCACAGGCAATAACTTTAGTATAAGTAAATGGATCTCTATTAAATTTTAGCACAAGGTTCCATACCACAATAGGAAGGTTGGGATTTGTTTTGGGGATAATTGTAAAAAAATGTTTACAGACAAAAAACAAGCATTTTTCATGTTTTAGGACAATAATTTGTGTATACCACAAGATTCCATACTTCGAAACGAAAGTTGGGATTGATTTGTGGTCATGGCCAAAACCATTTAATAATTAGGGGCCAAAAAACTCTTTCTGGTGTCTGTACGGTTTAGTTGAAAGGGGCCAAAACAATACTTTTGTAATACTTTTTTTTAGCAATTTCAATGGGGTTTAATTCAAAGTCTTGGGGTTCTTTAATATGCTGAATCTTATTGGGTATTCAGAATTTGAATTTTGGGCCCTGTTTTTGAATTGATCCATATTAAGGTCCAAAGGGTCCAAAATTAAACTTTGTCAAAAATTAAATTCTTAGGGTTTTATGATCTGCTGAATCTTACTATATGTGTTCAATTTTAGATATTGGACCATAATAGGTAAAAGTCCAATTTGACAGAAAATTTAGGTCAATATGATGTATTCAAATTTAAGTTTGATAAATTCTTTAGTGTTCACAAGCAGATAGATTCATGATCAGCATTAGGCCAATTAAAACTAATTGATAGATTTTCATCCCCGCCCACCCCTCTGAAATCATCCCGCCCCGATTTGTTTTATTTTAAAAAATTTACAATTTTCGGATTTTGCTCAATTCCGTTACTGGTAGCCGCCATTAAATTCGTTTCATTCAAAACTTCCTGTTGCAAATTTCAGTTTTTGTATTTCTCCCTGTAATTCAACTAAAATAATTAAGTCAACATATTCTGCTACTCTATGATGAAGACTTTATCTTCCGGAAATAGAGATTGATTATGGGAAAGGCATGAAAAATTCGGGTTACGAGTAATAGGCAGTGTTAAAGATCGCAAATCGCGGCATGTCACAAATTTCAGTGATTAGAAAACCGTGGAATTCTCTATTTATACAATGACTTTGTGTCAGGAAATTTGGCTGTGAACAATATTGTTGAACACATTGGTACAAAAAACATGACTGGAATAAAAAATCCACGCAAGCACGAACTTGTTCGATCTAAGATCGAATAGGTACAAAAAGTCTGCCAATGAACACAATGTATTATAGCAATTCCTTAGATTTACCCCTTGGATAAGAAGAACGCATTACAAAAGGGTTTCGGAGGAATTAATAATTAAAAAATAAAATCCTCCTACCCGTCCCATTTTTTTCAAAAATCTGGATGAAAATCTACTAATTAATTTTAGTTGGCCTTAACATGATACTGTAAAATGACTTTTGAACTACATTATAAATGTCAGTATAGTTGACCTGATTTGGTAACATGTTACTACCAGTTCTTGATATTTGGAAGGTGGGAGGGGGAACTCTCCAATTTTTTTTTCTGACTTGTGTTTAAAAAAAGGTTTATAATTGTATATATGTAAATTTCAAACAGAATCAAAACAACATCTTTTTACATACATAAAACATAGTGCATCGAGCACAACATTCTATATATCCTACCTACATTGAAATTTATGAATGAAATACATACTCAGATAAACAAGCTACAAAAATTGTAGGTATATGTATAATCGTACTAATTTTATGCTTGAATCTCAGTATCTTCTACAAATATCAATGATATCATAGTTTAAGTATATTTAAAATTAGAGTTATCTTCCCTTATACATAATTGGGAGTTGAATGAAACAACAACAAAAATATCTCCAATTCATAGTAATGCCTTCCAATGCTTAATACAATGTTTAATTTTTAGTTTCCACAGCAAAATGCATACAATTTTTAACCCTTCAGTGCTCACAAGCACTTTAATTTTTCGGAGTTGGTGGTGTCTGAGGTTGTCTGTTGTGATGTTCAGTATTTTTGGTGATTCAAGTCCTCTTTTTTATTTATCATTCATATGAAAATTGTAACTGCCCTGGATGTCTTGAGGAAACGTGCCTGCCTCAAATGAGGGAGGTCTTGGGATAGACATCAGCCTGGTTAAACCAAAGACTTTAAAATTGGTATAAGTTGTTTTTCTGCTAATGAATATAGATAAAACAATTCCAAGGGGGACAACTCACCTTTAAAATCATCAGGAAGTGCCACGTCATCATCTTCATCCTCTATCAGTTGATCTTCCTCCAGGGACCTCTGGGAAGGTATAGAGATGGCAGGAGATTTGGACCTCCTTTCCTCAACAGCATGACGAGTTTCCTCTAATTTAGCCTTATACTGGCTCCTTAAAGAGGCTCTACTAATGGCTGACGATTCTCTGACAGACTCTGGGGATTCTGGTTTTGTTTGTACGGACTGTGGTTGTTGTTGTGGTGGCGGAGAGGTCTGGGTCTAAAATGTAATTATGGTTGTCATGGTTTAATTTTACTTAATGATTTCATAGGATGCTTTAATTAAGAAGTTAGTAGTCTAAAATTTGAAGGGTCAAACCCTTCAGAAATGATTATTTTTCAAAAGGTCAAAACATCTACCATTGTAACATTTTTATATAAATATGATTGTTTTTGAGACAATGAAATATAAACATCTCACTCTTTCAATGAAAACTAAAATTACCAAAATTACAATACTGACCTGTCTAAATGTTTCAATAATGATTTTTTAAAAGAAAAAGGTCAATACAATACAAATCAAGGTAAATTTTTACATAAAAATGTAATAATTTTTCAGTACCAAAAAAATATTACATAATCAAGTTATTTCCCTTTTCCCGAACAAAATTCACAAACAACCTAAAAATTGTAAAAAATAGATATATTTTCATACACAAGGCAATTTATATGTCTTACTCTAAATTCATAACAAATATTAGTTCATGCACACACCATTAAATCAAACATTAATGTGTAATATTTATTATTACATGCAATAAAATTATCAAGTTATATTCCCCTTTTCTTGAACAATCACAAACAACCTAAAAATTGTGAAAACTATGCCATTAATTGCTACATGATGGATGCACATTGTAATACTGTCTGCAGGACATGTCACTGTTACCATTTCAAGATCAACATATTAAGCAGGTTACATAAATAAAAAAAAAATAGTCGATCAGGCACCATTTTTATAGTTTTCAAAAACAATCGTAGTATCGGTATAAGTCTTTTACTTTTGCTTCTCACTAAAAGCTTAAAAGTATAAATTAAAAGTTTTACCATCTGCAATATAAAAAATATCCTTTATAAGTTAAATACACCTGAAAATTTTGATTGCTTTTTGCTTGTCAGATCTAAAACTACTTTATCAGGACAAAGGACTAGAGCCCCTTACTAATATTTTAAGAAAACACTAAATTTTTATAATCAGACAAAAGGTCTTATGATTTAACATCAAAATACCTTAAGATTGTCAAATTTTGAAGGTTAACTTATAACTGCAAATTCAGAAATTTTTGGGTGCATTTATTATTGCAATTTTTAAATAATTTTTGCGATTTCAGGAAAAGCTGCAAACAGATATATGCATCATATATCAGAATGTGATACTCACTCAGATGCATTATTCTCATTAACAAAAATCTTGCAATAATTTCTAAATTTACAGTATTATGAGATGTTTTTGTACATCCATTCATTTTCCCTGAGTAAGGTCAGTCCATTTTGGAATATCAAAGTCCTTAGATCTCGGGCCTATTTGAATATTATGGTCTGTAGAAACTAGAAATGTAAAAAGTTAAGAAATATTTACAATAAATGATAATATTTGGAATACATTCTTTTGGTGACTAAATAACAGGTTAAAGGTCAAAGTGATGTGATAATACAATGTCAATCTTGTGAAGGTTAAAGGGTCATCCAATATCTCAATGTCAAAACATTGTTAACTTAACACATTCAATAATATTTCAGTGTAAGCTTAGGTTCAAACTATCAGTGAAGGTCAAATATCTGCAACTGCAAGACACAATAATCATAATTAATACTTGTGCAGTTTAATTAATTCAAAGAACATTATTTTCATGGTGAAGATTGAAGGTCAAATTCCTGTGACAAAGGTCAAATGTCATCAAGTACCTCCATGTCATGATAATCATATGTTTGAACATCAACGCCTCTTGACCTTAGAATTTTGGTGTGCTTCATTGACTCTGGTTTGATCTTTGGTAAAACAGAGGTCAATGTATTCATCCGAGACATAGTTCCCATGGTAGCCTCTGTGTCAAAGGTTGTGTCTCTGTCTTCTAGGAAGGAAACAAGTCGCTGTGGTGCAGACGGTGGTTTGTATTTGTCAATTGAAGAGCAGGTAGTTTCTCCGATGAAAGGTCGTTGTGACTGAGACGACGTAAGAATGCCACCTAGTGGTGGTAGAGATTTCAAACTATGTTGAGATAACTCTTGCAGGAACACCGTCATTTGCTACAGAAATTGAGAAAACAACGTGATTCTATTGTTACATAGTTTAAAAAGAAATACTTAGTTTTTTTCTTTCAAGGAACTTTCAATAAATATCATTTTTCAGTTTGATATGACAAGATAAATAGATAATGATACAGTGTTTGTATGAACAGAAGAAACTAGAATGATATGATACTAACGGTTTGGGTTTTGATAAAGTAAAGAATAATATGCATGATTTATTCTATAATTGTTGTCATATATATATATAGAAGTCTATAAAAAGGACCAACCAGCAAATTTACTATGTACCGGAATTCTAGACGATACTGTGCAGATAAGGAAAAAATTATATAAGTCTAGAGATTTGCACAACGATACTAATATAAGATGGTATTATACGAAGATGTTGTTAATAAATCGTGTTGACAAATATTTTGGCTTAATGATTGTTAAAATAATTGACACCGAAGAAGGCTATTTGTTAAGCCGAAATATTTGTCAACACGATTTATTAACAACATCTTCGTATAATACCATCTTATATTAGTATCGTTGTGCAAATCTCTAGACTTATATAATTTTTTTCCTTATCTGCACAGTATCGTCTATTCTAGACGATCCGGTACATAGTAAATTTGCTGGTTGGTCCTTTTTATAGACTTCTATATTTATATATATATATAGCTTTTAAGGCTAATTGCCTCTTTGACTACTGAAGAGAGAAAAGGCAAGATATTTGTTATTATTAAAAACAGTAAAAAGGAAAGGAAAAAGCTCCCAGTCTTATTGTGTTATCTTTTTTTCTTTCTTTTTTTTCTTATCTTTTGTAAATTGAACTTTCTAAAAAACTAAATTATAAAGTGATGATAAGATTTAAACGTTTCAATCAGTACAGTTTAAGTGTTTACAGTAAATATGAAGAAATAATGAACTTCAATTCAAATATTTCACGACAAAATAGGGTTATTTAGCTAAATTGTAATCACAATGAACATGGAAAAATCTAATACAATTTACATAAATAAAAATCATTAGTGTGCACATGAGTCAGGTCAAAATATAGAATGAGGTTCAGAACTTGTTAGTTTACATAGATATTGTTATATGTATAAGGATTTAAATCATTCTTGGAGACTGAATTACAGGATATCTGAACCATTTGCCAATGAGACGTAAAACCTTTAAATAGTCACAATATAAAATAAGAACATGTGATATGATTGCCAAAGAGACAACTATTTTACAGAATCCAAATGAAGTGGATTTCACCAATTGCATTTTTTTTTAATTTGACAAAAGAGTTATATTATATATCATTTATGAAATCTAAAATTTGGGATATTTAGGATTGTAAGCATGGTTAGCAAGTGAGAAACATGATGATGGCAAACAGTAAGTGATGTCACAGTTATGGTGAATCATTGCAGAAAAAGGTGTCAACATAAACAGGAAGTGAAGTATGTTGTCATGGTTACAAAAGTGTCAATGCAAACTGGTAGTGATATCAATGTAAACCTCTTGGTAACAGGATTAGAACAACAGGAAATGATATCATTTCTAAACAAACCTCATTTCCGACAGACATTTTGGTTATAGGTCGGAGGAACTCTGCTCCTGTATTATATGATGATATATTATCATCCAAACTGTACTCGTCCTCGCCGTGGCTCACGTCAGACATAGCTCGGGTATTCAGGGCAGCAAATGTGTCAAATATACTATCTGGTAACAGACCAAGTTGAAGGGACTCCTCTGTCAACTGACTAGCCAATGAAATCATAGTAAGTGTTCTTTCTAGCTGCTGATTGGACAGATTTTCCTGATTTTCGTTTATCTGTTGTAATGCCATTCTTACAGAGTCCAATGCCCTTGTTTGATACGAGGACAACTTTTCCTGTGTTATCATCTGATTAAGATTGTCTAAAGCCTCTGCCTGATTTTGAGGAAGAGTTTTGACGAACAATTCCTCTGGGGAGGCGTAAGTATTTTGTGGAGGTAAAGATTTTTCAAATGATTTCTCAGGAGAGGTGTAAGGTTTCTGTGTTGTTTCTTGTTCTTCAAACCATTCTGCTTTAGATAAGGCAGCCTTTCTCAGGGAATTTTCACTTCTAGGGGATGTCTCAAAATCGTTAGGTGATATGTGATAATTATTTGGAGATGTTCCCCTCTTGGATGATGCATCACTTTTAGCTGATCTATCCCGTGAAGCCAAATGTGTTTCTCCTCTTGGAGTACTCCATGCTGACCTTGAATGGCCTCCATCTTGCTGTGGAATTCCCGGTTGATCTCTAGGGTGTGATGATCTTGTATTTATGTGTGGTGACCTTGTAACTGACCTTGGATTTGACCTAGAATGATTACTCCTACTACCGTCTGACAATGGTGACTCTGAATTTGAACTATGACCTTCAGAGATTTCCTCGATAGCATATGCTGACGATAGAGGGTGTAATGAGTGTGCATTTTCTACCTTTTCAGAACTTCCTGGTCGTGGTGACCTTGACCTTGATCCTCCAGACCTTGTCCGTAATAAGCCTTTCTATTAATTAAAACAAGAATATGTATGAAATAATTGAAATTAAAATTTCCATGATTATTAAAAAAAAAAGGAAATATGGTATAACTGCAATTTAGACAACTATCCACGGCAGACCAAATGATGTAGATGTCAGCAACTAAAGGTCACTGTTCATCCTTCAACAATGAGCAAAACCCTTATAGTAAGTTGTAAAAGGCCAATATTTCATGAGCATTAAGTTACCGGTAAGATGATAATATTTCCAGAAACATGATCTGAGCAACACTACTCTATCTTCTAAGGATAATGTATACATTCTTGTGGTAGCATGTTTTGTGTTGAGTCTATTTAATTAAAAGTTTATGTAAAAAATGATTGGTATTGGTCAGTTTTGTTAGCTTGATTGATTGATTGTTGGAAGCTTACTATTGAGTAGAAATGTAGAAATTGATATGACCTTGATGCTGAAGATAGGAATGATAGGTGAACTCATAAAAGGAAAACCTAACTGGCATCAACTTTAAGTCACATGCATACGTATAAATTGATTAATTTGATTGATAGATGTAACTTTTAGGGAATATTCTATTATTGATTAACTTAATTAGTTAATGTTTATAACTGGAGGTTAAGTTTTATATTTGCATTAAACATAATTTTTAGAGGTACCCTTCTAGGGCCTCAATCATACCTTTTGACTAATGAATACTTGCAGCACCTGAACCTGAATTGATTTAAATTGAAAAAAAATTGATAAAGATTTTCCACAAAAAAATGTTTTTATAAGCTATAGGATATACTTGCTAAAAAAAACTTCTCACTGCAAATTCTCATAATAAAGATTTATGACATGTTTCTGTAAAAACCTTCATCAGGTAACTTGAGACTAATGTGTAATAGACCAAAAGTATAAAATGTATGGTAGCATGAAAACCAAACGGACTGAAATAGTTTAAGGTCAATTTTGCCTGAAGAAGTGGTAACCTTAATTTTAGTTGTAACATGGTGGAGGATCATATGCAACCTATCCAGAGGTTTTATACTGGCAATAATATTCATTTATTAATGGTAGTTGTATCCTTCCAATACCCTATAAAAGTCCAAAAATACACTGCAAGCATTATAGGCAAGAGTACTGTAAGATTAAGCCTCAAATCAAGGTTAATCACTAAAAACCAATTATATTCTCCTTTGACACATGTATCTCAATAAATTTCAACCTATTCAAAATTAAAATCATATGCTGAAGCATTTTAAAACCGACAATAATTAACTTTATTCCATGTGTTACTACAAATATACATAGGAGTTATCTCCCCTTTGAAGCAGCTTTCTATAAGGTTAATCGCACTTATCTTAAATTTTACCAAAAACAGTGAAATATTACCACGCTTTTGTGTATATAACAAAGACATTCTTTTTTGCTCAATTAAAAAATTGGTTGACATGAAAGCATTTTTCTTACTGCAGCGAAATTTTCTGTCCAAGCAGTATATTAGCCACCCGACATCATTTAGACAGCAAGCAAACAATGACTTAACAAAGCAACTTTATCTAAAAACAGATTTCTACATTTCTGATATACAGGGAGATAACTCTGTAAAGGTGAATAACCTATACCAAATGTCCAAAGCTCCGTTAAAGGAGGTTTGGACTCAAGGCTGGCCTCAAAACCAAACACATGTACCTGTCTACTAAAATTGATCTGGATCTAGTTCAATGAAAGAAATAACCATTGACATACAAAGTTTTTAGGAAATTATAAAGACTTCAATATAAATTCTGCTGTGTTCTGCTCTTTGGTCGAGTTGTTGTCTCTTTGACACATTCCCCATTTCCATTCTCAATTTTAGATGAATGTCTTACCAAATCTTTAAACTAATACAGATGTTATTCACAATCCTGGTTTTGGTCAGTCCTAAAAGAGCATATTTTAAAGTCTCACTGATATCAGTCCTCAGCTCTTAAGGTCTCTGGTTGTGTATCAAATGTTATTTACTTAAACTGATACAGCATTGTTACCGATTTTGCCATAGCAAATAAATTGCTCTATTTTCTTGTTATTTATAGCAGAGTTATGACTAAGTAAGCTCTGTATTAACAAAACTTTTTAAATCTTACAAACTAACAAACGAGTAAACAAACACACAAACAAATAAACAAACACACAAACAAACAAATAAACTCTCTCACTACCTGTCTGTGAAGAGCATCATTCTGTGAAAAATAATAAACCAAAATACACAGCTTGGTTTGTCTAATTATAGGACAAACATAACAACTGAAGAAAAACTCCAGTTATCTCCCTTCCCATTTGAAAACGTGTAAAACAAAATCATAAAACATCCACAGACAGAAACAACACTGAAGTTGGTGTTTATGACACACACACACACACACACATGTATAACTACTGTAAATTTATTTTCATTTGTGGGGTAATAATTTTCATGGATTTTGTGAAATAAGATGAAACCACCAATTTAAGTTAGTAACATACATAACATACGAATAAGGCTCGTGTTTGTAGATATATTTTTTCAAAACCACAAAATCAAGTTTAAACGAAAATAAATATTTTTTTCAATTCCATGAAAATAGGAACCCATAAAAAATAAATAAATCCCCAGTAATGTCAGTATATCTCTGATATACCTAAAATGTACAGATAATAAAATATCTATACTTCAACTAAATATAACCATTTACAAAATATGGCCTCATATGATATTTGAATCTTTCAAATCTTGCCAGTACAAATCTTCTTTTAATTATTCTTTTGAAATTTGAAGGTTGTTTTATGCCACTACAATATAATAAAATGTAACATGTCTTACATTAATCTTGGTACTGTAAATAATTAGCACAGTCTAAATTAAGAAAGTTATGCCGAGTTTTTAATTTGAATGTAAAATGGTTGGTAAATATAAATATTTATATCTTGAGTCCCAAAATAGTAGACAATGACAAAATATTATAGTGGCATGAATTAGTTCTATACCAGAAAGTGAACAATTTGAATTTGCATTAAGTTAGAAAACTAAGAACCAAATCTTTTTTCTTATCAAAGTACTTTTAAAAGTACTGTGATCTCCAGTAAATGTGCATAGCTGTTGTTATGGTTACAGTTGAAGTATAAATTGACAAAAACATATGACAAAATTTATCATATACCTGATGATCTACAAGTGTTGTCTGTAATGTTAAATAAAACTAATCATATAATAACTAATTATGTTTCTTTGGCTAAAATGTGAAATTTCTGTAATCATTTGGAGAAGAATCTGCTTTCCCTTTCGGAGCACCTAAGATAACCACATTAAATTCATGTTACTCAGTCTTCAGTTATTTACTTTTTTGTAAACTGTTGTTGGTCTTTTCGTTGCCATGGTATTGTTGGATTTTCTTTAATTTACAATTGTTTTAAAAATTGTCCCTATGCTATCCTCTGTTTCTTTTTAAAACATAAATCTGTCCATTAATTGTATGGTTAAACCCAAAAGTCATATATTTATTGGGCTTTTTTCTAATTACTGTAATTTTTTGAAGTATAAATGCGAAATCATTACAAACCAAATAGGGAATAAAAGTCAGTCATTCTAATTGCTAGAAATTTATTACTGTACTCTGATGAAAATTTCAGTTATATAGCAGCAACTCATTTTGTAGGAAATGGTAGAAAATACGGGAAAAAATGATAAGGAAAAGCATGGTAAAGTTTCACATCATACAAGCTATGTTTTTATTTAACTTTTTTTTATCTTAAAATAAATTCCTTTTATACTAAAAGGAAAAAGAACTGTGAAAGTGACGCCACCCAAATACGACCTTGATCTGTGTTTTGTGGTAATAAGCATTGTGTATAAGTTTCATAACTTTGGTTGAGACAAACTAAATTTAGAAAACGGAAACTAATTTTGGGAGTTACGGACAGACAAGGGTAACACTTAATGCCCCCTCTGCATAAAAAAAAGTATTAAATTACCTTGTCTGCAACTTCCACGCCATCCTCCACTGCAGGTGGCGCTGACATTGCTCCAGTGATGCGGGAGTTCATTTCTTGGACCTGAAAAATATATAATCTCTTGAAAATTCAATGTTCAAGTAGTATCTAAATGTTGTTGGCAAAAAGTTCTTCAATAAAATATGAACACTCAAAAAAGAAAAATAACAGCAGCAAAATAAAGTAAAGGGGCATAACTCTTTTAAAAATAAAGTAAATGTTTCAGCTGCATCTTATATTATTTACAAGACATTAGATCTCATGTTAAATTCCCTCACAAAGGTACATGTATATCTTATTTGTGCTTCATTCTGCTTCTAATTTCTTTCAATTAATTTAAATATTTGTTCAAACTATCAAGAAATATTATCTTTCTTGAATGCTCAAATTCAATAAAAAATTGTTACAGTAATCAATATTATATTTTCTTCTCTTTTCATTATGATGAAATAAAAATGTTCTACAAAAATTCTGTAAACAAAAATAACGCTTTTTAAAATTTCCCGTGTCTGATCCTCTTTTGTCAATGAGGAGATAACTCATGTACTGTGGATTTATTTGTTTTCGTAGATACCAATTTCAGTGGATTGTAGAAAAATTGCATTTTCGTACATATTTGATTTGATGGTTGTTTAAAGTCTGCTTTACAAGCCTATATAATATTTGTACTTTGTTGAACATTTAAATTTGTGTGATACCAGTATACCTACAAAATCCATGACAATTGGTATCCCACGAATATTCAAAAATCCCCAGTAACATAACTCTAAAATAGTACACAATAATGTATGAATACTGGTAAATTCTAAAATGTGCAAATGTCTATACAAAAATATCCTTTATAAAATTCATCCATGTGCATTCCATGAAAACATCTGTGTAGAATAAACCTAGATTTAAACAAAATAACCGATTGAAAAAAAAAAACTGTTTTAAAAGATATATTCAACGCCATGTTAACCTTCTTCAATACCTCCCTAACATCATTGTTTTTCTTACATACAGGATATAATTATCATTGTATTTAAAACATTGTATTTATTTTTCTACTGAATTCCAAAATGATACATAAGATGTGGAAACAATGAAGTAGTGAGGGTCTATATGGTAGGGGTCACACTTCATTTCTGTATTCCTTAAATACTTTGGCCAATAATTCTCTACTCTTTATTTGTTTGGCCAATAATTCTCTATTCTTTATTTGTTTGGCCAATAATTCTCTAGTCTTTATTTGTTTGGCCAATAATTCTCTATTCTTTATTTGTTTGGCCAAAAATTCTCTATTCTTTATTTGTTTGGCCAATAATTCTCTAGTCTTTATTTGTTTGGCCAATAATTCTCTATTCTTTATTTGTTTGGCCAATAATTCTCTAGTCTTTATTTGTTTGGCCAATAATTCTCTACCGTATTCTTTATTTGTTTGGCTCATCATTCTCTATACTTTATTTGTTTGGCCAATAATTCTCTATTCTTTATTTGTTTGGCCAATAATTCTCTTTTCTTTATTTGTTTAGCCAATAATTCTCTACTCTTTATTTGTTTGGCCAATAATTCTCTATTCTTTATTTGTTTGGCCAATAATTCTCTATTCTTTATTTGTTCAGCCCATTATTGACTTCAAATACTTCTGCTCTATATATGGCTTTATTCTATATTTTGTTTGTCCCTTTTTTTATATTCTTCTTTTTTCTTTTCTTTATTCTAAAAATATTTTGGCCCATTATATTCCATTTTTTATTATCTATGTACCATATTTTTCTCTATATTTTAGTTATTTATTATTTTTTTTCCATCTTTTAAACCCCATCCAGACCATCAGTTAAATTGTTTAGACAACATCATTACAATTCATTAAATTTTTTATACATTTAAACTGTTGTTAAAAATAGTTAACTTATCATCGAATTGTCAGTCATCTATTGGTTGAATGTGATTAAATTTATATATATTTGTACTAGCAAAAAAAACCAAAGAAACCATGCTTTTGATTGATTGATTGTTGGTGTTTATAATCTTTATTGCAAAATTACATCCATAAGGGTCAAAGCAATACTAAGAAAAAAATGGTGAACAATTTATAAGTTTTAATCAAACAGGCTAGATAGAATAGACCAATTCAGAAAGGATATTGCATGATGTTCTTGATGCAATTCACAAGAATGCTGAATCTGGGAATTATTATTCACCAGGACAAAAGTTGAATTTCTGAATTGGTCCATTTTGACCTTTGAAATCTCTGACAAATTACAGAATTTAAGATTAAACTAAATGTGAAAAGGAAAATAAACAAATTATTACACACCTACAGCAATAATTATACACAATATTAAATTGTTGTGTTATGTACATTACAGTGCATTATAACACACAATGCTGAAATAAAACAGTTGATCATGTGACTTTTGGTTAGACCACAAATGCTAAGGATGTGACTTAAAAAGTTCAGGTGACTTTTGGTTAGACCACAAGTAATAAGGGTGATTCTGTCACAAAAATTCCAGTGAAAGTTAGACAATCTGTTGCCGCAAACCTGTTTGGAATAAGGAGGGGTAGTTTTTCTTCCACTTAATGGTTCACCATCTAGGTTACGACTACGTTTTAATATTTGAGATTTTCCACGACTTTGTACTTGACGATGAAAATCATCACCAATATCTTCATCGGAATCTTCGGCAGGGAAAATGTCGGTGATGGTTGATGTTTTTGATACCAAAGAGCTTCGTCTTGTATCTATCAATGGCAGTTTATCCTCATCTTCTATAAGAAGGGAGCTTCGTCGAGATTTGGACTGTATTGGTTCATCATCTTCTGCTAGAATGGAACTTTTACCTGATGTTACCCTTTCCACCTCATTGGGGTTAAGTGAACTGCGACGAGATTTTAATCCATCAGTTTCTTCAACCTTTAATGAACTACTATGGGTTCTCCCATCTTCACCCTTTAATGAACTACTATGGGTTCTCCCATCATCACCCTTAAGGGAACTTCTACGGGATTTACTATCTCGATTTGAGCTGTGTTTTGTTGTTGACCTACTTTTTTGTCCAGATTTTAATTTGGTTTCCTCAGAACTTAACCTTGAAGATTTTTGTGATTCAGGATTTTCCACTTCATGTAATGAACCTTTTGTAGACAAACTCTTTCTGGACATGGATGAACGATTTCTGGAATTTCTAGACTTCAAACTTTTCTGTGAAACTGATGCCTCTTGCGTTGATTTATGGTCGTCTGTATATAATTCTACATCTGCATCAAGGTCAACTTCTTCTCTTTCATCAAAGTCGTTACCATGGGAAACGTCAGACACAATCTGATCACTATGCTCCGATTTAATCCTATTCCTTGGTTCTGAAGAAATCCTCTCCATTGGGACACGCTCACTCTCAGGTCGTCTAAGTTCACTACGTGATCTGTAGCTCTGTTTAGACCTCATTTTAAGGTCTGGACTATCAAAGACCTCTGTATTACGTGTATCTTCGTTGCTTAACTTCAACCAAGGTGCTATATCTGAGTCCATCTCACTGATGGATTCTGAATGTTGTCTCTGAGACTTTAAACAAAGGAGAAATATATATAAATATAAAAATTTGCGAAAAAGATTTTTAAACTCACAAGATTGTGTAAATGGGTAGCTAAATTTCTTCTTTATCACTACTCTTAAGTAATGAAACAATCTGTACAACATAAGTAAGTATTGTCTGTATTTTATCAAGGGAGATTACTCTCTTTAATACCTACCAATAATTGTCAGGACACTAAATAATGAAATTATCTGTAAAACTGATATAGAAGTGTCGTCTGCCATATATCAAGGGAGATTACTCTCTTTAGTACCTACCAATAATTGTCAGGACACTAAATAATGAAATTATCTGTAAAACTGATAAAGACGTGTTGTCTGCCATATATCAAGGGAGATTACTCTCTTTAATACCTACCAATAATTGTTGCTGTATCTCACTAAATTTTATTGTAATTTGGTAATGGCATAACAACTGGAAATTTTGAAATACAAGTCTACATTTTTGTTTGAAAATATTAAATGACAAATAGTTCATGTCACTTTAGACCATATGAGCTAGAAAATTCAGCCTTCTAAAAAAACTATACAGTTGGCTCATCAGTCCAAAAATTGTCACATGGCTCTCAGTTTAATGCATCATTTGTTATTATTCATAACAAAAATCTACATAAATTACAAACGAAAGTGAACCAACGCCTGGGAAATCTGTAGTACGGTAGAGTCCTTAAAGTGAATACCTTGGGTATGCAGGGTCGTTATGATAAAGCACATAAAATGTAGAAAGTCTTATATCTTAAATCTACATAGTATTAATAAAATCTACATAACGTTTCCATAACAACATGAAACTAAAATAAACAAATCTGAATAAATCTTTCTATACAAAAATAATCTGATATTATTAGGAGTTATACAAAAATATACTACAAGTAAGAAAAAAAGTTTTGTAGTTCTAGATGAGAAAAACAACAGAAACACCAAAGGTCAAAGTTTATTACCTTGGCATCATCTGTCTGCTGCATAAGTCTAGATAATTCTGGTTCTGTATGTTCCTCTGAGGGACGTTCTGCAGAAGACTGTGGTTCGGCTGCTTCAGGTTCTTTCTGTGTCTGTGTGTCTGATGAAACAGACTTCCTGTCTCCTGCTTCATCTGGTGGTTTTTGTCTTGAAGGACGTGTAACAGCTTTGACAATGTCAGTACGCTTACCCTCCTCCTCATCTTCCTGCAAATAATTATGGGAAATAAAAATTAAGATGCATGATGGGATACATTTAATCTAAGTATGTATACAAGATTTATTTAATTATTTTCCCCACACCATACATAACTAATTGATTCATTGTTTTTTGTTTAAAGCACAGTGGCAAATATTTCAAGGAAATTGTGGACAAGAACACAATAAATCCAATATGTAGGTCATGTAAGTTCTGCAAAGTAGATCACCATGAATGAATGATGGGAATGTTAGACTACCTCTAGAAATTTATGGGAGTATGACCAGAAATTTTGATTTACATGAGTCAATCAATTTCAGAAAATACAGACTTTGACTGTTTGTTTGCTCAATGTTTACATATGTGGGTGGAATCAACAGTGTATAACAATGGTTTCATTATGCCTTATTATTTGCATTTCAAATAATACGAGGTTAAGATAATGTCTAATATTATGTTATTTACTAGGAATTCCATTTCATAACTCCCCTATCCAATGGACAGTCAAATAAGACAACAAGCCTTAGAGACCAATTTCCTACTTTATATTCTCTTTAATGCTCTTATAATTGGGGAATCATTTTTATTCATGGGGTACACAGTTTTGTTCATGGAGTACACATATTTTGTCATGGGGTACACATACTTTTTCATGAAGTACACATTTTTATTCATGAGGTACAAATTTATTTATGGGGTACACATATTTATTCATGAGGTAAATATTTTCATTCATGGGATACACATTTTTATTCATGGGATACACATATTTATTCATGGGTACCTATATTCATTCATGGGGTACACATTTTTATTCATTGTGTACACATTTTATTTATGGCGTACACATTTTTATTCATGGGGTACACACTTTCGCAGATTTAGTAAGTATATTTAGTAAACCTTGAATTTAAATGTTTAACGGAATATAAATTTTCTTTAGATTTGTAAGTAAAATTTGGCAAAATCATAAAATCAAAAATCTAGGAAAATACAATTGTTCCTCAATTCATGAAAATTTGTACCCCAGAAAATAAATGAATCCACATAACTTGTTTTCTCATGTGTAACCTTATTAAATGAACACATGTGTAATACCAATGTATGATACATATGAGTGATGTGAAATTTGGTATCATATGGTATTGTTTTTTTTCGTGCAAGAAATTACCTTTGAAATTTTCTGTCCCTTTAATAGAAATTTAGAATCCTTTATGGCTGGATACATTATGTTACTTGGCTAATGTTAGTTATTGAGCTTTATAAATCACTTTCAATATTCCATCTATAAGAATCGGTGATACAAAGTTACTAAGCTAATGTTAGATATTAAGCTTTAAAAATCACTTTCAATATTCCATCTATAAGAATTGGTGTCAATGAATAACATTACAAAATATCACTTTTTAAAAAGAAAGGAAAGCTGCACTGCAATAAGTCTTATTTGCCAATTCGAGAGAAATATCCAAGAGACAATCCAAAGAAAAATATTATCCCAGTCAGAGAATGAATAAAATGTTACATTGGAAATATTTTTTAACTTTTTAATCAGATAGTGACATCAGAGATATGATAAAAACTGCAGATTTCTCTACATAAAATATTCTTTATATCTCTGGTATTCTTTTGAGATCTAAAGAATCAGAATGCAGGTTTACTTTGTTGGTAGAGTGTTAATTCCTAGATCATACATCCAACACAAACATTTAACACATATTAAATTGTTCAATGAACCGTGAAATTGTCTTTATTCACAGTTCTTTGAAATATAATCCAGTGAATCTGTAAAATTAATCAACAATATGTTTCCTAATTTGAAATCCTGATTCAAAAAGTCAATTTTACTGTCTGAATATCTACTTGTTGAATCAAATTAAAAAAACATGAAGCTGATGCAGCGTAAAACTAACACTAATCAATCGTTCTAGCTTGATGTACGAAACATGAAAAAGTTACAAACAAAAACACAAGTTCTCAGATTTTTCATTGATATTTTTTTTTTCAGGTTTAATCCTGTTATTGCAAACAAATGAATAATTCCAACAAAAATGTTGAAATGGTTGAAATTTAGATCGTCTCTATATATCACATAACTCTGAAGAAAATTAAATATTTTCAAAGACACTTTCCAACAAAAATAATTAAATGAGAATATATTTCAGACCATTAATTTCCCAAACACAATATTTATATAAATGTGATAAGACGGGACACAGGAGATTTTAGACAATATTCATTTAATACTTTGTATATCTTTTATTCTATTGTAAAAACAAATTAAACTGTTGAATTAGTTGTGATCAACTTGTCCAATTTGATTGGGGTACATTGAGGGAATATTGAATCTTTTATTGAATTATTTAAATGGATTCTATAAAAAGTTGTGAAGTAAATTTTTTTTTTAAATTCAACAAATACACCGATTTTTTAAATTTATAATAATAGTGAAGTTTTTCCCTATTTTTAATATTATACATTTTATCTCGTGGCATTATGATAAAGTCACTTGTTCTGAACCCCTCATTATTTTCAACACTTTAATAGCCATATACCAACTGTTTCATATTATATATTGATATCAATCTGTATGCAGTGTAGCATACATCAACAGTCTAATAGATTTGTCCCTACATAAACAATAACTGCTCCCTACACAAAAACCTTTATACCCATTTGTACCTTATATTAATAAAAGTCTTTATTCAGAGTTGGATATCAACAAGAACCTTAATTGTTAACCTTCAGAGTTGTATATGAACATAAATCAGGCCGTTAGTTTTCTTCTTTGAATTGTTTTACATTTATCAATTTGCAGCCTTTTAAAGCTTACTATGTGGTATGTGTTTTGTTCATTGTTGAAGGCCGTACGGTGACTTATAGTAAGTTGTTATCTTCAGTACGTCATTTGGTCTCTGGTGGAGAGTTGTCTCATTGGCAATCATAAATGATCTTCTTATTTTTATATAAAGGCTCCTAAGAGCCTTAATTGCTTAAATGGCAAATAAATTTATCCAAATTTTGCCGTTTATCAATTCAGTAAAATATAAAAAGAAATATTAACAAGGTGTTGCATATTGATGCCTACAGATTTCGATTTTAATTAACCAATAAAAAAATTTGAAAAAAGCTGAATCTGATAAATTAAAATATAATTCTAATTTCTCCCTTTTCTGTACCCCTTCCTAATAAGTAATATTTTCACAGCTTTAATTTAATTGATAACACAATGCTATCTGTTACCCAATTATCCACAAAGAAGTTACACATTATTACACATATGTGTACATTTAAACAGACAATACAAAGATAATCTAGATCATGCTAAATAAATACGATTTTATCCTGCTGTCAATAGGTCTGTCCAATAACATAGAGAGATGACTTATCAATTTATACAAATATTGGTTGCTAAATATGATCAATAGAAGAATTGGGATTTCACCAAAAGCAACCCAACTCTACAACAAAACCAATAATATGCTCTGTGAGGTGCAGCTTGATACGACCACAAAGGATGAACCGTGAACAGTTGGGGCAAGTATGGACACTACCGGTACATTCAAGCTAGATACAGCTCTGAATTTGGATTGTGATTACATATTTGACACAGCATAGGTTTCTTGCACAAAATAAATGTGGTCAAAGAACTGAATTTTTTTTAAATTGGACTATTATGGTCCAATATCCAAAATCTAAATACATGGTTAGACTCAGCATATCCAAGTACACCAATAATTTTATTTATTTATTTATTAATGCACAATACAAGCTAAGTTTTTGAAGGGGTTCTCTTCATCAAAAAAAAACAAAAAAATAAATATATATATATATATATATATATAAAAGTCTAAATTGAAAACAACGTTCAAACCTATGATTGCGTTGGATAAAAACCGCAATTTTTATACGTGTGCATGTAAAACAAATTTCGTGGTAAACAAATTTCGTGGTAGAGGGGTATATATATATATATATATATAACATTCTGAAAATTAATTTATACACAATAACTAACAAACCTACCACAAAGTTCTTCCAAAAAATTAACAAAATTTGGACCAACTTGAAAATCCGGGCCCGAAATAAAAAATCGAAATACATGTTTAGATTCAGCATATCAAACAACCCCTTGAATTCAATTTTTGTTAAAATCAAACAAAGTTTAATTTTGGACCCTTTGGACCTCAATGTGGACCCATTAAAAACAGGGCCCAAAATATCCAAAATCTAAATACACGGTTAGATTCAGCATATTAAAGAACCCCAAGAATTCAAGGATTTGAAATTGGTCAAGAAATAAGCAATTTATACAAAGTATTAGAAAAGTATTGTTTTGGCCCCTTTTGCCCATACAGTTAGGGCCATTACCCCAAAAATCAATCCCAACCTTCCGTTTTAGATATACCTTTTGGTACAATTTCATAGAGATCCAAAGACTTATTCTAAAGTTATCGTCCAGAAACCAGAAAAATGCTAGTTATTTTTGCCCCTTTTTGGCCCCTAATTCCTAAACAGTTTGGGCCATAATCCAAAGATGGGGAAAAAACTCTAAACTTCAAGGGAGATTACTTCTCACCAATTTTTCTCTTAATAAAAAATCCCTCTCTTTTATGATTTGTTATTAGTCTTCTTCTCACCAAGGGGAGAAAGCTACTCACCAATCTTTCCTGTTCATTGATGAATTCCTCAAGCTGTGACATAGCATTATCGGCCTCTTTCTCAGCCTCTGTCTGTAATTTCTGGGCCTGTTCTACTTGGTCTATGAGAAGTTTTCTTTCCTGAAGAAAAATATTGAATTCTGAGTGTATTCTATTTGTAAGGCAGATAACTCTGAACTTCAAAAGAGTCATTTTAATGACATTGAGGATTCAGAATGTGGTAAAAATTTTGGTCGAAAGGAACTTAAGTTTTGAAAACACAATGGACCTAAAATTGATACAGACATGTGAACTATAAATCAAAACAAGCCATAGCATACTGTAATCTCTGAAATTATTGTCTGCATTTATTATTGCGGTTTTTGAAGAATGGAAAAAAAATGGGAGATTAATTATTGCAATTTCAATAAATGCTGCATATATAAATTATGCTATAAAATTTAAATACAAGTTTTTATTCTTGCAACGCCTTTTCTATTACAATTATAGCATTAATGATAACATGACAAAATTCTGAATTAACAGAACTGAGAGACTATGTAAAGGTATGTTAACACTTATACATATTCTTTTATCCTTTCTTTCCATGTATAGAAATTTCTTTTTTTAATTGTTTATTGGTTGAATAAGTTCAGGTCTAGTGCAGTGATAATATTTTCTAAAAATTTTGATCTCAGGATTTTTAATAACATCATATCAATTTATTTGCGAAGATAATTTTGTATTTATTCTTTTAAAATTTTTTCATAAAAATTGCTTTTTCTTTACTTAAGTAATGTACAATCCCTTTGAAACAAGTATTAACTTACCGATTCCCATTTATTTTTATGTTCCTGGAACTGATGTTTAAGGTTGTTGACTTTCCTTTGTGTTTTGGCCACGGTCACTTCTAGTTGATCTTCAAGCTCTTCCAATCTTTCTTTGGTCTACAAAAAAATAACAGAGTTATCTCTCTTAAACTAGAAAAAAAAATATTTATATAAAATTTCAAAATCCAAAATTCATCACTGTTGAATTCATTTTATTCTGTTGTCCATTTTAAAAGCCTCCATGGGTGACACTTTCAAGGTACTGTAGATTTTTCGTAGATACCAATTTTTCATGGATTGAGGAAAAATTGTATGTTGCTTAATGCTTGATTTCATAGTTTTGCTAAAGTCTCCATACTAGCCAATAAGAATTATGTTCTTTGATGTACATCTAATTCAGTTTTTACCTATTCCCAAGAAATCAATAAAAATTAGTATCTCATGTAAAGATTGAATCCACAGTTATAAAAGTAAATGTCAAGGCTGAATTAGTTGTAATTTGGACTGAAATTGTTCATCTTTCAGCAAGTGTTGGATTCCTAGTTGTAGAGATCAGTATTAGTTACATTATAAGTGATCAGCCAACAGAATTCTCTTCGAGCGAATTAGTGTGTTTCAAAATTTTTCACTGTTTCCTCGATGTAAGACATAAGATAGACAATTATAAATCAGGATTATGCTGACTGTAAGAATTGTGGTATTTAGACATACCAGTTTTCTGTACTGTATATATCTACTTTGCATCTGTTCCACTGGTAACGTAGACTGGAAAATAATAATCAATAAACTTATATCCAATTTTTCATATTGTTAACTATAAACAATTGAAAAAATTTTGTTATAATTAATTGATGATTAATGAACGTATTTAATAACACCTGAGAAAACAATGGCTTCAAGAACAAGTTTTATCAATGGCACATTTTAAAGGTCTGTATAAAGTCCCTGTATTAGCCCTTACATGTATTTATATTATACCCCTTTATTGATTGATAATAGATGACAGTTTAACATTACCGTCATCACACAATGATTATGTAGCAGCAAAAGCAAGTTTTATCAATAGTACAATCTAAAGTAGGAAAAGGTCCCTTAAGTTTTTTATACAGGTCAAGAATGAATATGTACTGCTCTGTAAATTCTATAACTTCTCCCTCCAGTAATGGCTCCAGTGACCCATGACCTCCATATTATATCAGCAGACATACCCAAGCATCATTATCTTTTAAATCATACTGACATGTAAATTCTATAACTTCTCCCTCCAGTAATGGCTCCAGTGACCCATGACCCCCATATTATATCAGCAGACATACCCAAGCATCATTATCTTTTAAATCATACTGACATGTAAATTCTATAACTTCTCTCCCTCCCGTAAAGGCTCCAGTGACCCATGACCTCCAACACTAAATCAGCAGACTTACCCAAGCATCATTATCCTTAAGATCATACTGATCTGTGAATTCTATAACTTCTCCCTCCCTTAACGGCTCCAGTGTCCCACAACCCTCACACTATATCAGCAGACTTACCCATGCATCATTATCCTTAAGATCATACTGATCTGTAAATTCTATAACTTCTCCCTCCCGTAACGGCTCCAGGGATGATTTATTTTTCTTACTCTGTCTCGTCTCTACGTGGGCTGTGTTAGGATCACCACCTTCATCCTGTATAGAAGTATCGGCCAAATCTACAGAAACCAAATCATGTTAGAGTTATCTTACTTTACTTGAACTCATATTGTAAAAAAACAGGAAGGTTGTTTTTCTTTAAATTGTAGTTTTGCTTTTTATCAGATCAATTAATTCTAATTCATTTTTCTATAAAAGGTTTCTGATGGACTAAACAGATAAAAAAAAATGTAATGTTAAATAAATGTTGTCTGAATGTATCTGTTTATAATGAAAGTAATCACATCTATTTTCTTTTTTTTTAATTTATCTGCAGAAATTATTAAGGTTATTCAAAAATACATGCATTGTTCATGACTTGTGGGCTATCAGACAAAGAGATAAAATTGAGAATGGAAATGGGGAATATGTCAAAGAGACAACAACCCGACCAAAGAGCAGACAACAGCCAAAGGCCACCAATGGGTCTTCAACGCAGCGAGAAAATCCCGCACCCCGAGGTGGTCCTCAGCTGGCTACATGCCTATTAGTGCATGGATTCTTGCATGATTTAAATGCAACATGTCATGTCTACATTTACAGATTGAGCAACACAATAGGTGCCAAGAGTAAAGCAGGATCTTCTAACCCTTTAACAGCAATTGAGATTAACCTTGGTTTTATTTCTGGTGTGGTTTGTTTTGCTCAGTCTATAGTTTTTTGTGTAGTTTTCAGTATACTGTTGTTTGTCTTTTCATCCTTTTAGCTGTACTGTGTACGCACTTTTTGATTTTTAAGCTACGTGTTTTTCTTTTTGCACATGGTCTGTTTTTGTTTGATTTATGGTTTTTGACTCATCAACTTCTGCCCATCTTTTTTTTTATCCTACTACATCTAAGGTTACCACTCCCTCAAACAAAGCTGACCTTGAGTTGTTTTCGTTGTTCTTTTAATTAAAGCTCTACATTTTAGTTGCCTCTACAAACTTTATTCTGTTGAGCAACATGAACTGTGCCCACAGAAATACATGTTTTTAATCAAGCAGTGTTTGTTTTTAATTTTGTGTTCTTATTAAATGGATTACTCAAAACAAACTTATTTTCAATGAAACTTCAATTTGCGCTCAGCCCTTTAATTCTAATTTTGCAGCGACTTATCTTTTGCAATTTTCTCATTTATTTTTGTATTTATATAAGTATTACTATTCAAGTTTTACATCTTGTGACACTTTCTTTTTCAATCAGTGAATCTTTACAATAAATCACAAGTGAAAATTAGTGGGTTTATTAGTATAACATCACTTGTTTACTCACCTTTCCCGGATTTTCCCTAAATAAGAAAAAAGAAGTCTTTTGACTAAGTTGGAAAATTAAAATGTCCAATACTCACCATAAACATGAAAAAGGTTACTATGAATCATTGCTAATTGTATATTTTTGAACATTGCACAGGTTTTTACCAAAAATTTACCCAAGTTAAACAAAGCTGACTATACGGTATGGGTTTTTCAAATTGTTGAAGACATGATACGGTAGCCTATAATTGCTAACATCTACTTCATCTGAACTTTGGTGGATAGTTGTCTCATTGGCAATCATACCACATCTCCTTATTTTTATACTAAGTGTAAAGATTGTTCTCAATCTTTCTTACAATACCTTTAGTCTGTAGATATTTATTCTATTCAATAGCTTTTCGAAATACATTAGCCAGGTTTTCTAAATAAAATAACAACTAAACTACTATTTCAAGAAATAGAAATTATTATTATTACTATAAATTACTACAAAGAATGAAAGTACAATATGTTTAACGGTTTTCTGTGATTTTCGTGCGTGAAGTATTTACCTATTAAGTTTCTGTAAAGATGAGTTCAAATTCGTTTTGCTATTCGGAAAATCCCCTTTTTATAATACTTATCACGCCTTATCCTTGCGCGTAAGAAAATAGGTCGCTACTGGTCAAGGTTAATCATATAAATCACTGTCAATACATACGTAAATATTGGATTATAAAGAAAGCAATCACGATTTCATACGTCTCGACACCGATTTATCAATATAAAGCATATAAATACAAGTAACTAAAGAAATGTAGGATTAATAACAAGTTAGAAAACAAAGATGTTATTCGAATGCCACATGTTGGCGGAATTTCGTAACGCTAAATCGGCAACTGCCAATTTTGCCGGGAACGACGTTACGTTAACACAAAGGTAAAACCGCGTTATTGAATGTTTACAACACTAAGAAACTGAAATTGCATTTTTGATAAAATCAAAATAAAACTGATTCTTTACAGAAAATTCATAAATAAAGATTTTATCTCTGTATTTAGTGTGATACAATATTTCTCCACTCAAAAGAGTTAAATTTTCAAATTCAAAACGGAGGCTTTGTAAATGACTAAGTAGCAACATTGAATTTTGTGAGATTTAAACTTCTATATTTTTTGTCCCTAAAATTGATTTCATAGATTATTTTTTAAGTGGTTTCCATAAGTGAAAGTGGTGTTTTAATCTTATGAATAATATCAATCCACAAAATAAAGGAAATTTAGAACCCAATGAAAATTTCTGTTTTTACATTAATCCTCAACTTACATCCCGCTTAGGAGACTTTGTAGGGAGTTGCTTCCCTTTGCTAGACTGCCTACTGTTCTTTGTGCTAGGTCTACTGTCCTGAAATGAATAAATACAAATTGTTAATCAGGAAATTTAAATTGTTTCACTTGTAACTATTTTGTGGGCTTCCTGAAAGCAAAAAGTTCTTAATACATAATTTCTGGATGACATCACAACAATTAACTGCATGACCAATCAGACGACCCCAATTAATTAACTTATATTATCAGACTAGGTGTTTTTCACCTAACCCCTCAGATTTTGAACTTCATTTAAATATCTCATAAGATTTTTTTTTATATATATAGAAAATAAATTGTGTTATAGAACAGTAGAAAGAAGAGGAGTTTGGTATAAGCACCATGAAGAAGATTAAAATGCCAGGATGTTTGCCTGGGAATTGTTTATAATGGCTGTAACTTTGAACTGATATAATTACAGTACATAATAATAATAAAATATTTACTTCATCATCTGTTATTCAAACTAAAGAAATTTTACAAATTTTACAACTGAGAGTGTTACAAAGATTGCATATTTAAAAAACAACTAAAGGGAGGTAAATTCATGCCAATGAGACAAGCAAAGGGATTAAATTATCAAAAAGAAAAATGAAACACTATAAAAAATCAGTATAAAACAAAATCAATTTAAAAATCAATTAACCAATTTTTAATTGAATCCTAATGCTGACATAGAAGAAGAGTTGTTCCTGCCTCTCACATAGTTTATTGTTTTCTTATCAGTTCAGTTCAATAAAGAACAGCTTTTTTTCATCCGCTAATTGATCTTATATCAGATTTATACCTTAATAATATCCCTAATTGGAATTTACACTAATATGAACTTTGACAATATTAGGTGTTAAGCTTTCATTGTAAAATCTCTTTTCAGATTTATGATGTAATCAAGTAACACTCTAATAATAAAGACCTTTGTTACCAAGGTGATAAGGATTATTCTCTTACTGGTAAACCAGGTCTACTAAATAAACCAAAATTACCTGTTATAAACTCTTAACCAAAACCCCTGGTAGTTCTGTTAAAAGAATTTGATTTGGTATAAACCAATGAAAAATCTGCTGTAGTGAAAATAAAGTTGTCAGTACATAGAATTGGACAATAACCTCATTTTAATATGAGTTGTTTCAAAAACACCTATCATTTATACAGTAAATTCAGAAATTATTGAGAGGTTTTTATTAAAGCGAATAATGCAACTGGTTGGGTATCACAATAATAAAAACTTGCATTCTGATATCTGATGAATATATCTGTAAGCAGCTTTTCCTGAAATCGCAATAATTAATCTCGCAGTCTGATATCTGATGCATATATCTGTAAGCAGTTTTTCCTGAAATCGCAATAATTAATCTCGCATTCTGATATCCGATGCATATATCTGTAAGCAGCTTTTCCTGAAATCGCAATAATTAATCTCGCATTTAGGTCCATTCTTCAAAAATCGCAATAATAAATGCACGCAATAATTTCTGAATTTACAGTAGTAATAAAAACATCCACCACAAATATCATAAACCAACTACTGTCTAATTTGATCATGATATAAAAATGCTATCGTACTGTCCATGATGGATACAAAAGTAATTAAGAAAAATCCACAAGATCCTTTATAACCAAACTACTTTCTTATTTGACCATAATATAAAACACTGACATACCGTCCATGAATAATATCGCTCATAATCTTCAAACTAAAATTCAAAAGAAAAACCATATAACTTCCTTATTTCTGTACAAAAAAATCTTAAGCAAATAGGCTACAGCGTCATGATTGTTGCGTACATGTAAGTCATGTGAACTTTGGTTGATATTTGTTACAATGCCATTCATACTACATCTCATTATTTTAACTAAAATCAACTTAAATTTGTGCAAGGGCTCTCTTGAGCTTAGTGTTAGTTTAAACATATTTTATTGTTTAAAAAGGACCACAGGATTAGACACAAGTTAGTGTGTGCTTTTGCTCCCTGTTGAAGGCCACAGTATGACTTTGAGATGAAGAACAGCAATTAAAGCCCTATTCAATCACCACCTGTATAAATCTCTATCCTAACTTTGTATTTTTTGGATGCTCTCTCAATCACATATACTGTACATCTCCTTTTATTATCGGGTTGCTGTCTCTCAATCACATATACTGTACATCTCCTTTTATTATCGTGTTGCTGTCTCTCAGTCACATATACTGTACATCTACTTTTATTATCGGGTTGCTGTCTCATTGATGTGTTGTATACCACATGTCTCCTTTAATTAATGAACTGTTTGCATAATGTAAGAGCAATCAAAATTTTCTCAATTAAATAAGACCAAACTTGGAATAACGATCATACTTGTATCAATAATCCTCCTACTGAATTCAAACAATTTTTAATGGAACAATGAATAAATGATCGACAAAATTTCCATTATAAAAATGATCAATTTTAAAATAAACCCCAGTCATCCTACAATAAAGCTCAATCAGAACTACTGATTTCAAACTGTTTTTAATAGTAAAATGAATAAATGATCACCAAAAGTTTCATAATAAAAATGAAAAATCTTAAATTAAACCACAGTCATCCAATTAAGCCAAAATCAGAAATCTAGAATATCAAACTGTTCTCCATGGATTGATTCTCGATAATCTGTTGTAATATTCACAATCTCTTCCAAATAAAACAAATTTCTTTGATGTGGGATAATAATGGTCCTGCAGTAAAATCATTACTTTTAAATGGATAACAGTAAAATCATTAATTTTGAATGGATAACATAAAAACAGCATCAATACAATAATTATTTAACATGTCTGTTTTAACGTTGAAATCAATGATTAATCAAACTGTCGATTAACTAAAAACAGGCGTTCATTTCTCATTTCATTTCTAACTTAAATCTGCACTTGTATTAAGTTGTATTACAATAATTGAAAACTGGACTTTTATAATAATAATTGAAATTTGGACTATCATTACAATAGTTTGAATCTGGATATTAATTATAATTATCAAAATCGAGACTATCAATAAAATTGCAATAGCATATTACTTATAAAGCAAAAATAATCATAAAAAAGGTTTATAGAACTGTGAGTGATCACACAACAGTATCCCCCCCCTCCCCTCACAGCTCCTCAATACTATATTATTTTAAACAGAATAAGCATTCTGAGAGTATTGCATGGCAATACATAGTCCCCTACCGGTTAAAAATTCATTGTATTGGAACAAAATGCTAACTTGATCTATAACTTGTCATGGTGTAAACTATATATGTATATGTCAAATGTGTTTTGTTAAAATATACTTTTTAACTTTTTTGGTCTTTTAGAAAATGTTGTTTGTGCTGTATTTAGACCCCTCTTAACAAGAAATTTGTTTTGCATGCACATGTATAAAAATTGCGGTTTTTATCCAACGCAATCATAGGTTTGAACGTTGTTTTCAATTTAGACTTGTTTATATTTTTTCATTTGGGCTTGTATTATATTTGCCTTCGGGTTTATATGATCCGTTCATCCTATTTTGACTCCTCAAAATTCAAGAGTCTATCCTAAATTGAGGTAAATTGTATGGCTTTCCAAATACCGTTTCGATTCCTAACATCACTGAAGAGACATTAATTGTCGAAATCCGGATATGGTGTACAAAAACCTTTGCACCTTTTGTTTGCGGTATACCATCTTTCCCCAAGTTTATTGTTTTCTGTTTAGTATTAAATTTATAATTAAGATCCATTTATTACATCGGTGATCCATTTATTTGGCAATCGCCAATGGCAGTCAGCAGGGTTTAAGAACATTTGTTGTTCGACCTGTTAGTCAAATGCGTTTTGTTAAAATATACTTTTTCACTTTTTTGGTCTTTTAGAAAATGTTGTTTGTGCTGTATTTAGACCCCTCTAACAAGAAATTTGTTTTGCATGCACACGTATAAAAAATTGAGGTTTTTATCCAACGCAATCATAGGTTTGAACGTTGTTTTCAATTTAGACTTGTTTATATATATATATATATAAGATATCAAGTCAATATCTTCAAGCATGAAGAAAAAAGTGAGGAAAACTGATTATTTAAGAGAATTTTCTAAGTTCAAGGACCATAACTCTGCACAAAATCATCAGACTGGAACAAAATTCAAAACTGATCTGTAAGTTGTCATGATAAAACTATATACCTAATATCAATATTATCTTCAAGCATGACGAAAAAAAGTGAGGAAAACTGATTATTTGAGTGAATTTTCTAAGTCCAAGGACCATAACTCTGCACAAAATCATCAGACCAGAACAAAATTTGAACTAGATCTGTAACATATCATGATAAAACTATTTACCAATTATCAAATCAATATCTTCAAGCATGAAGAAAAAATAGGAGGAAAAATGATTTGCCGGACTGACGAATGGACAGACGTCAGTAGGGGACTCCCAAATTCTAACTTGATCTGAGTTTTGTGGTAATAAGAATTGTGTATAAATTTCATAACAATTGGTTGAGGCAAAATATCAGGACGTATGTGTGGACAGACGGACGGACAGACAAGGGTTAACCTTAATGCCTTTTCCGCTACGGTAGGGGCATACAGACCTTTATTTTTGATGTGACAAGTGTGTAGTTTTGCCATTTTACTGAATTTTCTGTCATTTTATAGCTGTTTTACTCTTGAAAGGGTTTCTTATAAACTGAGACCACAATGTTTTATAAAGAACATAGACTCAACTTTTGATTTTGCAAATCAGAGAGAGTTTGAAACACTTTTATTCATTAAGGGCCAAATTGGCATCAAATTGTATGAATGTAAGTGGTTCCTTTCTAAAATAAGGGAAAACGGGGAATAAAACAAGAGGCTATCAAGAGCCTGAATCGCTCACCTGTAATTTTTTGCTTAAATCTTTCATCAATGATTATTTTTGCTTTTCAATATATATTAATGAATGGCTTAAAACTTCAATTGAAATGTTCTTTGTATCTGTCATATTTTCTTTAATCAAAGAAATTCATTTTACCCCTATGTTTCATTTTAGCCATAGTGGCTATGTTTCTTGACG